TTCTTCTTATTGTCGCAATGGGCCACTTCTACTGTTCACTATTGGTAGTTCAGATCGCGCATTCTCATGGAGGGTAGTGTTCGTACTCTCCGTCAGGTCCTTGGAATTGCTGCGGGAATGTTCCAGGAGATTTGTATGCTCAAGCGCAATAAGGAGAAGGACCTGAAGTTACCTCTATTTTACTCACTGCGATGGTATCTTTTCTTCGTCACTGTTTTCTATGGGTAATTAACGCCACTTAGACTGATCTCACTAAGGGTCAGTGCTACTCAGATACAAGCGTTTCATGACAGACAGATTCGACCGTCTGGCCATGGTTTACCCGGTCATACACTTCATCGTGAGATATCACGGCATCATCTCATACACTCTATTCGTTATCGGCCTCGTGGCCTTTGTGCTCAGTTTGCGAAAGTACGCACGCCCCTTGAAATTTCAAGTCCCATCACTGCGTATTGCTCAGATATACACTTCGTTATCAGTTTGGTCAACTAGCATGGACCATTGTGACGCTAATAATAGTCGTGGTAAGAGGTGACCTTGTCGTTGGTCCTTTCGATAGGATGGCGGACAGGTGCAAGGGATAGCAATGACGGCTAATATCTATAACGGTCTCATCTGGTTCTTCTTACCAACCTCAGTAGTCATTGTCAATGATATATTCGCGTACCTATTCGGATTCTTCTTTGGGCGTAATAGTTGCTAAGCATTGCTATAGCCATTCAGATTGATCCGTTCAGATCACCCCCTCATTAAGCTGTCACCCAAGAAGACCTGGGAGGGTTTCATCGGTGGCTCCATCGCGACTATGATATTTTCGATGAGTAAAATTTTGGAATTTCCCAACTTGCTCTACTTGTGTCGATTTCAGTCTGGTGTTCTGTCCTCCAAAAATACGAGTATTTCACTTGCAAACAAGAAGAGATCGTCTTTAAGCCCTTCATCTACCCAAGCTGCACACCAGATGAGATTTATACTCTCCATAGAACGTATGCTGCTACCACTATCGCTGCCTGTGCCCGATCGTATTGTCCAGGTACACTATTCCCCCGTTCGGGTTTGAATTGCAGCTAACTGATATGCAGATTCACGCCCTAGTAGGTTACGTCCCGTGTTCACGTGAGTCATGTTCTCTGTCAGGTCCTAGGTAGCTTTGCATCTCTGGTAGCGCCGTTCGGTGGGTTCCTAGCGTCTGGTTTCAAACGTGCCTTCAAGATAAAGGACTTTGGCGACTCCATCCCTGGTCATGGTGGCCTCACAGACCGCTTCGACTGTCAGGTGAGTTTCGTCTAGATTGTGTGGGGTTATCTCTGCATAGGTCGTAATGGGTATGTTCACGTATGTCTATCTCTCCAACTTCGTCGTTGGTGATAGTGCTACTGCATTCACCAGTCTTCTAGAGAAGGTCATGCAGTTATCTGATGCAGAACAACTACAGTTGTACGATCATTACTAATACTACTACCTGATGAGACTAAGGACATTTGGTTGTCGCAGGTTCGAGCTCCTCGGGGACGGTCTGAAATCTAGAGGGATCATTCAAGGCTGAGTATTTCCTGTTGTGTGTTCTGATCCATAACCGACTTGTTGGGTGTAATAGACTTATGAGAAACATCGATTCTATACAAAGATTATCTGCACCATTGCGATGCAACTTTGTCCACCCTCTGGTCGTGTAGATTCCTATTTACTGCTGTAGTGTTGGTCAATAGTTGATATTGTCTCAGTCATAGTGCTTTCAATCCATTTCGAATCAAACAGCACTGGAGTTTTCATTCAGTGAGAATCTGCGTGTACATCATTCCGTATGCGCTCCTATAGGGATCATAGTCTTCGTTGGACTGCCTAGTCGACGAAGCAGGTCAGGAGTGGTATGGGTAGATTCTAGAGCTACATAGCGGGTGGAGTGATATCAGCTGTGACCCAGGACGTTTGATAGAGCTATGGGAGGAGGCCTGTCTAATGGTCATGTGTATGTTAATAGTATGGACAGTATCTATGGATGATAACTATACCTTTCAGAAATATTTTTGGTGGATTAGGCTACCGATTTAGCGGATAAGGAAGTCACCTTCGCGGATAGGGGCATCAATCGAAACTCGGGCGGAGCTTGATGAGAGATTAGTGCGGAATCAGTCTGATGCGCATTCCGGCAAAAATTCGACGTCTTGTAGGGTCCTGAAGGAATGAAACCGAGACCATACAACGCATTCTTGAAAAGGTCAAACGTATGCAGCATCAGAATCACTGAGAGTGGAGTACGACAAGAAGAAGAAAATTATCAGGAGTATCATCATAATGGTTTCATGGGTTTGGTCAAACTGATGCTGCGCAGGATCGTCAATCTTCGAGTGACTCGGACAGAGTCACAGCTGTGCCGATTACACTTATCAATTCATCGCAGTCTCAAGCAATCTCAGGGATCTCAAATGCCGTGTCTGATTATAAATTGATTTTATGCATGTACGAGAGAGACAGCCAGTATTTTCTCATTATAAGAAGAGATAGTATTGTGTACAATATCTTTTCGTTGCGAAAGGCTGCACGGAAGGTTCATATAAGAATAACCAAACCACCACTTTCACGACCTCATGGTGAAAGCCGTCCAGTAGTAGTAGAGTAGTCGCAAGTAGGCGCTTACATTATAGTTACGGAACCCTAGTTTAGACTCTTGGAGGGTTTGTATTCGGATCTTCAACAAACCTTCCACTGGAAGGCCTCCAATGGAGACATACCACATGCGGTTTAGATCGAATAAGATATCTCTGCAGCGCTAGTTGACCATTGATCAGACCATTGATATTGTACAAGATGATTGTAAAGGAGGAATAAGTACACCTCCGAGTACGACCATGAACGTACTACCATACTATTGGAGTGGAATCGTCTACCGTCACTCAGTCACCACTCGTGGGGTGATAGTCGAGCGCAGTAATATCAGATTAACACTCCCGTGCCACGTAGAGGCGCCAAACTTATGAGAGTAAGAAACACAATGTTCAAAGTCGAACCTGGAAGAGCGTCGGAAAGTACTCACATATGTGATCGATGACGCACGCTGGTGATTGTACAACTGTCATATATCGTGCGAGTAGTCTCCTTACTCATCATTATTAACTGCCTTTCATATTGTAGTAATATAGATCCGGTCTCAGTATCGACTTCGCAATGAGTTCCAGCAATGTTGAGCAGTCAGACATTACTTCACAACAGCGGAAGCTCCTCACAGTGAAAACGCCTCATGAAGCTCCACCGCAGATTATGGCTGAGCAGAGGTATGATTAAGGCCATGCTGTCTTGGGAATTGGCTCAGCGACGTAGAGTTCAACCGAATGACGTCGAGTTATATCTGTGACCTCACGAGCTTGAACTGAGGAATGACATCACATATTAGTGCATTGTGGCCGCACTGTTGGTGTTGTGATGAGATTGTCCGATGGGGGCAAAACTGAACTCAGGAAATCGAGAGCCCGTGAACCTCCTCATAACAGAACACGACGGGCACGTACGGCGCCCTCGCTAGCGAATCGGGGAAGGACTCGTTGGAGGAGCCTAGCGCCTATAGAGAATCAGAAGACAAGGAAGTGCGGACTGGATAATGCCGGGGAGATGAGGTTAGCCGCTGTGGAAGGTGTCACATGCTGCAGTATGTTGTCACAGAGACTCGCTGCGTTATTTAGCAGCAACAATGGAGGTGAGGCAGTACTATCGACAGTGCCTTCAGTCTATCAGTCGGAGAATAGCTGACGAGAATGAGCTGATCTTGTCCAGACTACGAGCTGGACATGCGGCAGATGGGGACCGGACAAGTATGTTCAGCCTCAGGGAGGATCTCTCTGATCCATCTTTCCCTTGCTTCTCCGCATCAGAGCATGACGAGTTTGTCAGCGCGTTGACGGAGAAGTGGGCTTCGGCAAGTCTTATGCCGAAACGGTATGCCTATCTGAAGGATTGGTCTGATCAGTCAAAGTGATCCGCTGAAGTCTCTCTTGTGTTACAGTCGGGTGATCCGGAACGAGTGTCCAGTGCCCAATACGAATGCCTAGTGACGAATTGATGATAAGCAGTTGCTATGTGTATACGAGGCTAAGCTCTACTAGCAACCTGCTAGTAGCAGGTCTTTGACCGCAAGTTTTTTCGGAGTGGCAAGTTCCTCTTTGATTCTGTCGCAGCGGCGATCAACGTTCCTTGCGTCAGTGAGGCCGAGGTGCCGATCGACACGTCTCGCGTAGACTTGATGTGAATAAATTGACAGCATCACGCTTTCTGGGTATGATAAAGTTGCAATAGGGAACATAGGCATGTGATGCCCTACCGACGATACTCTCACTCACTGAAGGGAACACGACAGAGAAATGAGCGGTGCTTCTAGAGGTGAAGCAACTCATCAGGACGATCATCATAATCGTATCAGAAGAAGTGATTATCCTGATGTTGCGCGTGCTTGTTGATTTTTGAGTTATTGTGGCTTCGACAGAATCACTCTGTCGCCGCAGCATGAGTAAGAAGAAGTCTTCTTGACTCACCACTGTGCCGACTACAATTCGGAATTCATCACAGTGCAAAGCAATCTCAAGTATCTCAGTACCGGATCTGATGTTTCATTCAGGATTGTGAGAAGCCTATGGCGCTCCAGTGAGCGCTCGATTCGCGAGAATAATGGCGGATCGCGGGAATTCCATCGCGGAATTCGGGAAATGGGCAGGAAGAACCTGGGAGCGACTGGCGGGCGATAAGAGCTCGAGTTAGGAAGCTGTTATGCAACGAATGCTTCAACCGTATCAAACATGCCTTGATTCTCCCATCTTCTGGCCCTTACCAACTCTCACGCTCCGTAGACGAGGACTGTCCCGAACAGTAGTTGGTTGAACGAACTACGTGGGCATATCTCCTATCACGACTCTTCTTGACGAGGAGTCCTCGTCCTCCATCTCTTGAAGAGATTCTCTTTCAACGACTGACGAGGTATGCCTTCATTGAGAGAACAACACGCTGGTTCTTTCGGTGTACCGGCCAACGACTCGAATTCACGCAGCCACAGGCTTGAACTCTTAGAGCCACTGAATAGGTCCAGGAGAGGTGACCTTGTCGTTGGTCCTTTTGATAGTATGGCGGACAGGTGCAAGGGATAGCAATGACGGCTAATATCTATAACGGTCTCATCTGGTTCTTCCTACCAACCTCAGTAGTCATTGTCAATGACATATTCGCGTACCTATTCGGATTCTTCTTTGGGCGTAATAGTTGCTAAGCATTGCTATAGCCATTCAGATTGATCCGTTCAGATCACCCCCTCATTAAGCTGTCGCCCAAGAAGACCTGGGAGGGTTTCATCGGTGGCTCCATCGCGACTATGATATTTTCGATGAGTAAAATTTAGGAATCTTCCCAACTTGCTCTACTTGTGTCGATTTCAGTCTGGTGTTCTGTCCTCCAAAAATACGAGTATTTCACTTGCAAACAAGAAGAGATCGTCTTTAAGCCCTTCATCTACCCAAGCTGCACCCCAGATGAGATTTATACTCTCCATAGAACGTATGATGCTACCACTATCGCTGCCTGTGCCCGATCGTATTGTCCAGGTACACTATTCCCCCGTTCGGGTTTGAATTGCAGCTAACCGATATGCAGATTCACGCCCTAGTAGGTTTCGTCCCGTGTTCACGTGAGTCATGCTCTCTGTCAGGTCCTAGGTAGCTTTGCATCTCTGGTAGCGCCGTTCGGTGGGTTCCTAGCGTCTGGTTTCAAGCGTGCCTTCAAGATAAAGGACTTTGGCGACTCCATCCCTGGTCATGGTGGCCTCACAGACCGCTTTGACTGTCAGGTGAGTTTCGTCAAGAGTGTGTGGGGTTATCTCTGCATAGGTTGTAATGGGTATGTTCACTTATGTCTATCTCTCCAACTTCGTCGTTGGTGATAGTGCTACTGCATTCACCAGTCTTCTAGAGAAAGTCATGCAGTTATCTGATGCAGAACAACTACAGTTGTACGATCATTACTAATACTACTACCTGATGAGACTAAGGACATTTGGTTGTCGCAGGTTCGAGCTTCTCGGGGACGGTCTGAAATCTAGAGGGATCATTCAAGGCTGAGTATTTCCTGTTGTGTGTTCTGATCCATAACCGACTTGTTGGGTGTAATAGACTTATGAGAAACATCGATTCTATACAAAGATTATCTGCACCATTGCGATGCAACTTTGTCCACCCTCTGGTCGTGTAGATTCCTATTTACTGCTGTAGTGTTGGTCAATAGTTGATATTGTCTCAGCCATAGTGCTTTCAATCCATTTCGAATCAAACAGCACTGGAGTTTTCATTCAGTGAGAATCTGCGTGTACATCATTCCGTATGCGCTCCTATAGGGATCATAGTCTTCGTTGGACTGCCTAGTCGACGAAGCAGGTCAGGAGTGGTATGGGTAGATTCTAGAGCTACATAGCGGATGGAGTGATATCAGCTGTGACCCAGGACGTTTGATAGAGCTATGGGAGGAGGCCTGTCTAATGGTCATGTGTATGTTAATAGTATGGACAGTATCTATGGATGATAACTATACCTTTCAGAAATATTTTTGGCGGATTAGGCTACCGATTCAGCGGATAAGGAAGTCACCTTCGCGGATAGGGGCATCAATCGAAACTCGGGCGGAGCTTGATGAGAGATTAGTGCGGAATCAGTCTGATGCGCATTCCGGCAAAAATTCGACGTCTTGTAGGGTCCTGAAGGAATGAAACCGAGACCATACAACGCATTCTTGAAAAGGTCAAACGTATGCAGCATCAGAATCACTGTGAGTGGAGTACGACAAAAAGAAGAAAATTATCAGGAGTATCATCATCATCATCATCATCATCATGGGTTTGGTCGAACTGATGCTGCGCAGGCTCGTCCATCTTTGAGTGACTCGGACAGAGTCACAGCTGTGCCGACTACACTTATCAATTCATCGCAGTTCCAAGCAATCTCAGAGATCTCAAATGCCGTATCTGATTATAAATTGATTTCCAGCATGTACGAGAGAGACAGCCAGTATTTTCTCATTATAAGAAGAGATAGTATTGTGTACAATATCTTTTCGTTGCGAAAGGCTGCACGGAAGGTTCATATAAGAATAACCAAACCACCACTTTCACGACCTCATGGTGAAAGCCGTCCAGTAGTAGTAGAGTAGTCGCAAGTAGGCGCTTACATTATAGTTACGGAACCCTAGTTTAGACTCTTGGAGGGTTTGTATTCGGATCTTCAACAAACCTTCCACTGGAAGGCCTCCAATGGAGACATACCACATGCGGTTTTGATCGAATAAGATATCTCTGCAGCGCTAGTTGACCATTGATCAGACCATTGATAGTGTACAAGATGATTGTAAAGGAGGAATGAGTACACCTCCGAGTACGACCATGAACGTACTACCATACTATTGGAGTGGAATCGTCTACCGTCACTCAGTCACCACTCGTGGGGTGATAGTCGAGCGCAGTAATATCAGATTAACACTCCCGTGCCACGTAGAGGCGCCAAACTTATGAGAGTAAGAAACACAATGTTCAAAGTCGAACCTGGAAGAGCGTCGGAAAGTACTCACATATGTGATCGATGACGCACGCTGGTGATTGTACAACTGTCATATATCGTGCGAGTAGTCTCCTTACTCATCATTATTAACTGCCTTTCATATTGTAGTAATATAGATCCGGTCTCAGTATCGACTTCGCAATGAGTTCCAGCAATGTTGAGCAGTCAGACATTACTTCACAACAGCGGAAGCTCCTCACAGTGAAAACGCCTCATGAAGCTCCACCGCAGATTATGGCTGAGCAGAGGTATGATTAAGGCCATGCTGTCTTGGGAATTGGCTCGACGACGTAGAGTTTAACGGAATGACGTCGAGTTATATCTGTGACCTTACGAGCTTGAACTGAGGAATGACATCACATATTAGTGCATTGTGGCCGCACTGTTGGGGTTGTGATGAGATTGTCCAATGGGGCAAAACTGAACTCAGGAAATCGAGAGCCCGTGAACCTTCTCATAACAGAACACGACGGGCACGTACGGCGCCCTCGCTAGCGAATTGGGGAAGGACTCGTTGGAGGAGCCTAGCGTCTATAGAGAATCAGGAGACAAGGAAGTGCGGACTGGATAATGCCGAGGAGATGAGGTTAGCCGCTGTGGAAGGTGCCACATGCTGCAGTATGTTGTCACAGAGACTCGCTGCGTTATTTAGCAGCAACAATGGAGGTGCGGCAGTACTATCGACAGTGCCTTCAGTCTATCAGTCGGAGAATAGCTGACGAGAATGAGCTGATCTTGTCCAGACTACGAGCTGGACATGCGGCAGATGGGGACCGGACAAGTATGTTCAGCCTCAAGGAAGATCTCTCTGATCCATCTTTCCCTTGCTTCTCCGCATCAGAGCATGACGAGTTTGTCAGCGCGTTGACGGAGAAGTGGGCTTCGGTAGGTCTTATGCCGAAACGGTATGCCTATCTGAAGGATTGGTCTGATCAGTCAAAGTGATCCGCTGAAGTCTCTCTTGTGTTACAGTCGGGTGATCCGGAACGAGTGTCCAGTGCCCAATACGAATGCCTAGTGACGAGTTGATGATAAGCAGTTGCTATGTGTACACGAGGCTAAGCTCTCCTAGCAACCTGCTAGTAGCAGCTCTTTGACCGCAAGTTTTTTCGGAGTGGCAAGTTCCTCTTTGATTCTGTCGCAGCGGCGATCAACGTTCCTTGCGTCAGTGAGGCCGAGGTGCCGATCGACACGTCTCGCGTAGACTTGATGTGAATAAATTGACAGCATCACGCTTTCTGGGTATGATAAAGTTGCAATAGGGAACATAGGCATGTGATGCCCTACCGACGATACTCTCACTCACTGAAGGGAACACGACAGAGATATGAGCGGTGCTTCTGGAGGTGAAGCAACTCATCAGGACGATCATCATAATCGTATCAGAAGAAGTGATCATCCTGATGTTGCGCGTGCTTGTTGGTTTTTGAGTTATTGTGGCTTTGACAGAATCACTCTGTCGCCGCAGCATGAGTAAGAAGAAGTCTTCTTGACTCACCACTGTGCCGACTACACTTCGGAATTCATCACAGTGCCAAGCAATCTCAAGTATCTCAGATCGGGATTACCGGATCTGATGTTTCATCCAGGATTGTGAGAAGCCTATCGCGCTCCAGTGAGTGCTCGATTCGCGAGAATAATGGCGGATCGCGGGAATTCCATAGCGGAATTCGGGAAATGGGCAGGGAGAACCTGGGAGCGACTGGCGGGCGATAAGAGCTCGAGTTAGGAAACTGTTATGCAACGAATGCTTCAACCGTATCAAACATGCCTTGATTCTCCCATCTTCTGGCCCTCACCAACTCTCACGCTCCGTAGACGAGGACTGTCCCGAACAGTAGTTGGTTGAACGAGCTACGTGGGCATATCTCCTATCACGACTCTTCTTGACGAGGAGTCCTCGTCCTCCATCTCTTCCAAGGACTGACGAGGTATGCCCTCATTGAGAGACCAACACGCTGGTCCTTTCGGTGTGCCGGCCAACGACTCGAATTCACGCAGCCACAGGCTCGAACTCTTAGAGCCACTGAATGGGTCCAGGATGGTGCTTTTGATCTCGATTGAGATGTTAAGTGGCCCCTGGGCCAAGATGTCACGTAGCTTCTGCGCGGCCCTTGCCAGTTGGTACGCCCTGGAGAACCGTCGCAGTTGTCTTCCTCACGGTATCTCCAGCGCCTGATGGGGTCTCCGAGTTACACGATAGCAGTAATGGCAGCTGTGGCCGGCGTGACCGAATGTTCATTGGATTGGCTCCTCTATCCCCAACTCCTCCGCACTATTGCCGACTATGTCTGCCGTGAATACCCTTCGAACGATTAAAAGGATGACCAAGGTTTCTCCGGAGGCTGATGGCGATGCGGTTGCGAGAGTGACGTGAGCTCCCAGTGAGTGACAACTCAGTGCGAAATGCCAAGTCTGCTCATGAAAGATGATCCCAACCATGTCTTCATGCTCGCGAAACCGGAATCAATTCTTTGATGATCTGTCTACCCGATCAAAGTTTGATCGGGCTTGACCGGGATCATGTTTGCCGGGCGGGCTCTCACCATACTCCCTGCCGGATCGAGCAAATGAAAGACTGATAGTAATCTTGTCAGTAAAACTTATCCGAAGAGCCTACGGGACGGAGCAGTGTTATACGTAGTATGTTGCCGTGACACTGGGCCACAGTCAGTGGCGTTGTGGCAACCCATGGTGGGATTCCCCGCAGGTCCTACTTTTCTCAAAAAAAAGGTACTCAACGCAATCAGAGAAAACACTGGGGATGAAGCCGAAAAATGCTACCGTCAAGAACACGGAATATTCGAAAGCTCATAGAAGAGTCGGCCACCTTTTTCTACTTCGGCCCGAGATATAGTTCGATGTGTGAGTAGCTGCCCTTGAAGCGGCTGCTGACGTCTTAGATATCCCGATGGTGATGATGAAAGAAAATCGGGAAACCATCGAGCAGTGCACACAAAGGGGCAACGTGAACAAGAGGTATTGTGAATAGCCTGCGAATCTATCACCAAGTTCATCGATTTGATGTAAACTGAACCTGCGACCATTGGAGAGAACAGCAGAAGCTCATCCTTGCCAAAATCTATCATATAGAGTCCGATAGAGTTAAGCAGAAACCACGCGGCCATCTCCCCATTATCTTCATCACCAGCCCAAGCGTCAGGACTGTAAAGGTCTTCAAGAACCCGACGCATATTCTCGTCCGCAATGATGAAGCATCCCGCGGCTAGTGTAACTCCAAGTACATGATGAGAAGGTTGATTGTTATGAGCATACTGCCCGAAACGATCGCTAATAAGACTGAACTCACGCTGCTCATGGATGGTGCCGAATGGTGAGGAGAAAAGGGGTAGAGTAGTGTCGGTAAAATGATCTTGAATCTTCTTGCAGAAATTTTCTCGCCCTCCGTAAAGTTCCGCAAGTTTTGGAACATCGAAGGGAAGGCAGAAGCGGTACTGTAGAGCCCCGCCCTCGGTGTATGCTTGTGAAGTCCAACTTTCAAGTGGAATGTCATACCACTCCCCATCATCGTCTCGCGGTCCGAATATTTCTAGACGATGATTCCAATTCGCTTCAATGGCTCGACCCACTCGCTGACGGAGTATTGAGGCATCCGTGCTCATATTGAGCTTCTCTGCAGCGTCGGCAATGGCAGAATCTGCAACCATGTTCATGAGCACTCTGGAAACGGTCTCGCCACACTCCTCAACAGGAATGTATCTGAAATGAAGAACTGCAGAATAGCCCCAAGAAGGAGGTTACCCTCTGTCATTGTAATACTCCGAGCACCGACGGCCAGCGGATGATGATTCGGGTGGCTTCTCGAAGCTATCTCGTTTGATTGCTTCATACATTATGTGTTTGGTCTCCGCTGAGACTTTACCGCTCACTATGGCCCAAGCAAACACCTGCCAAAATCGTGAAGGTCAGAACTTCTCATCGTCTGAAACCTACCACATCGCCCATCGTTCCTATCATAGAGTCTCTCTGCCCCGGTGACGGCCACGTAGGCAGCCAACCAGCCTCTTTGTATGCATTCACCCATCCCTCCAGGAGCCGAGCGAGAATGTCTGGCGCAGCAAAGTCGAGCCAGAGGTACACCGTATTATAAGAGTCCCAAAAACCACTGTCAGCTGCCAGCTCACCAGCATGTGCCTGTCCTGTATAGGGACTATAGTGTACCTTGGCGTTCGATCCATCAACTTCAGTTAGAAGCCGTGGAAAAAGAAGTGATCGGTAGTAGTTAGTGTAGAAAGTGCGCAAGAATGTTTGGTCGTTGACAGTATGGTCAATGTGGACGGCAGTCATCCTCTCGTCCCAGACACGTCTCCCATCCTCCTTGATAAAGTCGAAGGTTCTATTCCAGGGAGCTTCTCTGTCGAGGTTGCGCCATGCCTGTTCCACTGAGATGAAGGAAGTGGCAACTCTCATTTCAATAACAGCGGTAGTAGTATTTTCACTCGGGTCGAAGTCCAATATGATATCGCCTCGCGACATAGTAGAATGCCATATAGATTTTGGCCGAGGCTTGGTGTCAACGACTACGAACATGCGAAAGCCCTCCGGAACACCCCCTGAATTAGCCTCGATAGCTAGCACGATTTTCGATGCATCATTGCTATCGGACAACAAGGTAAGACCTTTGTCGTTCCTCAAAGTCACATGCTTGTTCCCTGCGCACACAAAACGGAAACGCAGAGCTGCCGCATGGTTCGTTGGAGTCATCTCAGTAACGACATAGCCGTGTTGGGCGAGATTAGGCCCAGTGACTGATGACGCACGGAAGTAATACGGCTTGTATTCGGCTTGATCCGGTCGGAAGAGGTTCATTCCGGGGGTCCGTATGAACGAGGTGAGCGGAACGTCCATCGTTGGCAGTATAACGAAATACCCATAATCGCCGATCCACCAAGACGGTTGATGGGTACAGAGAATGCCGTGGAACTGAGTTGACGCTGGGGAGAAGGCAAAACGGTCATCCCGTAGTGTCGTGACCACAGACCAATGATTGAACCCGAAAGGGCGGGCAATAAGAGGCATGTTACCGCCTGTTGAGATACTGTCATCATTGATCGTACCAGCTAGAACATTGACCAAGTCCGATGCGGACTGTGTAGCTGTGAACGAAGAGAGAGTAACCAACAATGTTACCAATAACAACTTCAAGCCGAGTAAGATACCCATCCCACGAAGTGAGACAGCCTTACTTGTTGATAGCAGTTAAAAAAAGCCGCACTGAGAAAATCAGACTCGAATAAGCGTCTGACTACCAACACCACCGAGGAACCAAACCACAGAAGAGATGAAATATAACAAATACTGCAGCGATGATAGTGGAAATGATTGCTTGTGAGGAAACGTAGCGCAACGAAGAGGTACTCGCTTCTCCAGCGCACTCGTCGTTCAGCTATGTTCCGACTTACTCGATGAGAACCCTCCCGCTACCCATGCATCGAAACTTTTATACCCCTGAATGAGCATACAAAAATGATTACAGAGGTTATCCTCCAACGTCGACACAGATTTCGAATCACTAATTTTCTGGAAGGATTTGCTCTAGTCTCCACGATTTTGGGAGCGTCACGGCGAGCTGGTCGGTTAGTGTTGTCTCGAAGAATCGCGGCTCGTGCTCCTTTCCGCGAACTTGTACCGCTCTCCGAGGGATTGCCGTTTTCACGAACTTCATCGCAGTAGGCCGTCAAACTAGCTCGATTTTGGGATAGTCAAAGGTTGGGCGAGGCACTGTTGGTTCTCAAAATGGAGTTATTGAAGCCTGGAGCAAATCCTTCAGAAATTTGGCAGGGAATTACGACTGCTGAAAATCGTTGGCAAAATTGTAGAAGACCTATATTTCTTCCGAGACATCATCAGTCGAGAATAATAACACTCACATAAAAGCACTCTTCTGGAGACATTCCAGTGGCCTGGAGGAATGCGTCAACGCAATCGGGATCAGCCCAGTCCACCAAGCTGATGAGCTTGCAATATTCAATCTGAGACAGGAGCAAGACTCAGGAGGAAGCATGGCAGGAGCGACCAGGCACCATGCTTCGGGAGGTTTGCTGCGGCATCTCCGCCGGGTTTAGCTCCGACTCAACCGAGTGCAATAATTCGTCGTGGTGGTCAACACTGACGTCAGGGGTATGGGTAGCCAGGGTTCCTTCGTGCTCCACCACAACTGGAGGACCGCTACCGTTGTACTTTCGAAACTCATCAACAGATGGAGCGTAATCAGTAAGGCTGCTGGAGAAATCCAGAATGAGTCCTGACGGAGATCAATAAGCACTCACAAGGTCGATGACGGTTGGAAATTGCGTAGTCGTGAAGGAACTAACCTTCTTCACGATGATTCTCCGCATGCAATGGAGAGGATAGCACCCAGTCTTCAATCGGATTAGTTCGGACGATATTGTATGCCGAAGAAATGGCGCTCATCGAGTTCATCTTCAGTTTCCTCGGATAAAATCTGAGAATATTAGTATACAACAAGTCGGTCGAGAAAGGATACCTACCGAACTTGCTTTTTGAATAGTTTGTACGCCACCTTTTGGATCTGCCGATTTGGAGTGCGGAACATTTTTACCAACGATGTGAAGAAGCGGAATTGCACCAGGATCTTACGTACTCTAAAGTGGACATTTCACCACCCACTCCCATAGACCACAGCAGCAACTTACGTTTCGGGGGAATCCCTGCACACTACATAAATAACGCTGGTGGCCCTCCAGTAGGATTCAGCCACGGGCGAGGGCATTGCATTTTGCAACCTGAGCGGGCGTGGCAGATAACAGTCGGCTCACTGGAAGCTCACGTTTCCGTTGCAACAGCATCACCGTCAGCTTTGCGCGAAATCTCAGATGTTCTACTGTTCGTTCGGAGGCATGGTAGAACAGGCGGGACCTCATACGGCCTCACCGAGGTCTCATCCATACCCTGCAAGATCTTTAGAAGAACCAACGCCAAATTGTTCTCTGAGCAGACCAAGATGATGGACCGACCACCACAAGAGGGGTACTAACTGCAGAAGCAGTCGGCAATAGTGCAGAAGCGCTGGAGGGAGAGGAGCCGACTTCCCTTCAAGAGACACACGGCCATACCGGTCACAGCTGCCGTGATGATATCAGCGTGTCTGTATGGAGTGATAGGGAATTCGATGCGACATGTGATGAGCCCCACCGTTGCATTTCCAGCCTTTCCTCGGGTCTACGTCGTAGGCAGGCACTTGCAAGAACCGCACCATCAGCCAGCATCAGCTCTTCTAATGAGACATTCTGAGACCAACAAATGGCTATCCAGATGAGAGATGAATTCAGGAGAGGAGATGGGAGAAAGTCAACCCCTAAACTCTCACTTCTGGATGATCCTCTGAAGGTAAGGGACGACGTTGCTGTTCGCCATCCACTACCTACACCACCGACACATGCACAGGTTCGAGGACATGTCAGCCCACCTGTTGTTTATGCAACAGTGTACGCTCAACAGAGAGATCGATGGTGTTCGGGTATTCAGTCGGGTTCTGCAATGCCGACTAAGAATCATCATCGTTGGTGCCCAAGTAGAGTCGAACTCCTACAAGGCACAGCTGCTGCAAAGTCGAGAACAAGCTTTCGAGTTTGGGTAGCAAACTCTTGTAGAACCTAAACTTATATATCATTCATGGGAGAAGTAAGCACGGAGGAACCCACCTCTCTATTAAATGAATTCTTGCTATGCTGATCTCAGCAGAGCGCTCTGGTGATTCCACATCGGGTTGGTCTACCCAGTTGAAGCGGCGAGAGTGATCATCGCCACATATCGCATCGAGCAGTTGTCCATGATCCTCAGCTGGAGTCCATCGAGTAACTCCTTCGACCATATGCTTGACATCCTCCGCATCCATCTTCAGCCCTCCTCCACCATGCGGGTTATTATTACTTTCACCATTCAGCGATAGGGAATGGACAAAGTCCTGCAAGATATTTCACGGGGCAGAACTGACTTTATGAAGCTGTTACTTCTAGCGAGACGACATCTTCCGGCGAGGGCTCATCCTCTTCATCGACTTCCTCTTCCTCCTCGTCCTCTATCTCTTCGTCCGCTGCCTGTCGTAGCAACCGGAATCCCGCATCCATCACCTCCGGATCCAGCGAGGCATTCGAGGACGCCTCAGAACTGGAGGTAACCACTGAAGACCTACGAAGTAACCGTCGAGCAGATCCGCTCTGGAAGCCTCCAAACCGGTCGTCATAGTCCTCCTCTTCGTTGGCCTCCTCCGGAACCTTATTCTCCTCATTCTCATTCGCTTGACAGCCCTTCCGATGCCTCCTCCCACGGCGGGTCGGTGGGGCTGTTGGTACTCTCAAACCTTTTCGCCAAAGGCTTCTAGTGCGCATTTGCCTTTGCTCAACCTGGCCCCAAGAATACGAAACATACAAAGAGCACTGGTAGTAGTAGTACTAAGCGGTTCTCCCAGTTGGGTAGCAGATGCTTCACGAGCTGCTGGATAGAGAAACGGCTATGCTCTCCTCCTCTCTGCACGCGAGTAAGACCAATACGGTATTTTATCAGCCCTCGTGCTTTCAGCGAGAGGAACCTGGAGAGAGGCAATTTCGCTTCTCCAGAAAAGTAATAACATCCTACCTAGTGTAGATGTCTGCTAGTGCGGTCGAGTTCCTTCTGAGGAACTCCACTTCGGCGGCATGGAAAGCGTAGGAACGGAGGAATCGATCCTATAATAGATGTAGGAGTCAGTGAGGTTCATGTTCTGAACCAACTGTGCCGCTAACTTTCTGATAGTGGGCTAATAGTTTGAGACTATAAGCATCGAGTAGATTGATGGTGGAAACATAAGCAAGGCTTATTCATTTCTGGTTCCTCTGCATCGACCCAATGCTCTGATTGAGCCTCCGAGCGCCTCTTTTATTACGGACCGAGCGAAGCAAGCGGAACTATATATTGCATTTCTGTTCATCTCGTGTATCTGTATGTGCGTGCCTGCTAGCGTGAGTGCTTGCGTGAGCGCCTGCGTGCGTACGAATCATTCCTCCACAACCAGAGGCGTGTATACATGAAGAACATTTTTTTCAAAAAAATATTCTGGTATTTGAATCGGAGGCAGGGTGTCCCAAGAATGGGGGCAATCAACCATTATTCCTTTCCCCGGGGAATTCCTGAGAATATACGTTAGTATAGATGAGCAAAATTACGTTACGGATCGTTACGGCTCACTTTCACGGTTGCGATTCAAGTTCCGTACCGTAAGATTACGGCGCCGTAACGGGTCTTACGGAGATGCAGTGGACAAAACGAGGATTGATAATGCAAGTCGCCTAAATCTATTTCATGTGAATGCGCATGCGTAGACGAGGCCGGCTTAGCAGTTCCGAACAAGCCTAGGAGTAAGACGGACGGAATTTGCAAAGGAGACGAGTGGTAAATGCAAATCAAATGCTACTCTCTCAGCGGTCCGTTTGGATCCGAGCCACAAGAAATGAGTTTAACAACTATTCGAGCTATCGTGGAGTGCATTACAGCAAATGTTTCCGCCACAATTCCAAAGAAGCAGTTCAGCACCAACCGGAAAGTCGTAAGGCCTTTCCGTAACCATAAACTGCTCACGTTATGCACGCCGTAACATAAACCGTAAGAAAACGTTAGGCTGCCCATCTATATACGCTAGGAAGAGGATGGACGTGAGGTTATGGGCAAAGCTTGATAGTCAGTATGGACTGTACCGGAAACGGTAATCCTGAAGTGATTTATAGCAACTGGGAATGCGTCGCGTTTAGGGGCCATGATCGTGAGTGAGATGATTCTACTATGGATAAATCGAAATCTCGGTCAATAGAGCTAAAAATGAGTACAAGTCGGCGTCAGCGTGACAGAAGGAGACTTCTCCCTTCGGCGTTCCACCCGTGGCACGGAGACTAGGTACTCCTCGGAGTGCGGTCCTGGGTACTGCGGGTTGAATAACCGTTATTCTTCCTGTGAAGACAGATGATTCCTCTTTCCTGGGAGTTTCATCGTGGGAGAAATAGCTTTCAGAATGAAGTCCGCTAAACACGTGGCGAGCACCGCCACGTGCAATCTGGAACCTCGATGCAGCATCTCCATTATCCAGCAGTGTCGATAGGTAATATGGACGAAATATCATTACGTTAATCCCCAATATGGAAAGCCCTTCACCTCAGCTTACCTGGTAATCGTTAACGATGGTAAGAGCTTCCTTAATGGGTGTAGGTCGCCTGCAGCCCTCCTTGCTGAGGATAAAGTTCTCGTGGAGGCAGAGGACGACGAATGCCTAAACGATTCCTTCGAAGCGGTTAGTAGCCGAGCCGCCCACTTGGAAGTCTTTCAACTTGGGCTCAGAAGCTGGGAACTCCCCCAACAGCACACTGCACTCAGTCTGAGATATCGATGGAGGCCCTCGGGCAGACTTCCGACATCGACGAAGATCTACGCCGGCAAGCGGTGCTCACTACAGCGGATGGCTAGCGTACCCTTCTCGGGAGTATTAGGAGTCATGAGATACAGCCAACGGTCAGGCGCCTCGAGAGTGGTCCTCCATAGGAGCAGATCACAAAGGAGAAGCTGGGATGGAGAAATAAGATCGACCGAGGGAGGACTCTGAACGTCTACTTTTCGAATAGGAAATTCCCTGAGGTCCAATGCAAACCGTGTTGCGAAGATAAGAGAATCCAGCAAGGACCGCTCCTCGTCATCCACCCCTTCATAAGAAGGCTACATACGAGAGAGTATTGGTAAAAATAGTCGCCTGTTGTTGAATATCTCCTACCGTCACAGCAGAGATGCTGGGCCCTGCACGAGCTGATCCCACAAGACACTCTTCCAAGAAATCCAATCGATGCAAGTTGAAAAGAAGACAGACGTATATAACGTTGAAACAACAACGGAGCTCGCGAGCCAGGAGTAACTCGCAACTGAGAGAATAACATGAGCCTATTCATCAGTCAGTCGAACCACTCACGGGCGCGGTACCTCCGATAGATACCCGTGGTCTCGCTTTCGTGTGAGCATATAGGAAGAATCTACAGCGCAGACGTTTAGTGACGAGTTTTGGACAGAAGTGACCGACCTAGAAACTTGTCGAGAAGCAGAACCATACACCGCAGCACACCCTCATGGTAAAACATCTCACTCGCGCTTCTCATCAGTGGGATGAAAGTATCACAAGGAGAGTCTTCAGCGAGGGAGCAACCGAATCCGATATACCTGGACAGAGCTTGCGAGACCATCAGTAGTGAGTATATCGATTTCTCACTGCAATGCCATTAAAGTGTCAACCCTCAGCCACTGTCCCCTCTCCACTACTGGATCGTCCATACCGTGCACAGACTCAACAAGAAGGGATAGACATCTCGCTACAACATCTGCTATGTCATCAGATCCCAACGACTCGCAAATTCGAGCGAAGCTTTGGCGCCCTAGGAACAAATCCTGAACAGTTAGACGGCATTCAAATTGGAGGTCCGTCAACTTTTCTTACCTGTATTTCGCTATGCCAGAGGTACTCGTCGATCAGATGGAGGGCCTCGAGATCCGGTATAGCACCATCAAGTTCGTCGGAGGATGTGCTCTCTGGCTTGGGCGAAGACGCATGTGAGTACTTCTCACCTGGATACTGTCGAATCGACGTTGAGACGGAACAGAGCTCTCCTACTTCCCTCCCGGTTTTGTGGTGTTGTACGTGCCGGCGAGGCTGATGCCATTGAAATGAATTGATAAACTCCTATCACTCCAGCTGATCTCTATACAACCAAGGAGCAAATCCAGTCGAAGATTGATATCCTTCCAAAATACATGTCTCTGTGTATGTGAACTCACACCACGGCTCGCATCTATCTCGCTACTCACGCTGGCCATACGGCCGTCTCATTCAATCTAACGGGACGCATTTAATAATACCCAACGTGGCCCACAGCCTCCATCACCTTCCCTAATCTCACCGAGGTGATCACCGATCCGGTAACCTTGTGGTGACAAGTTCTGAGTCTATGCAAAATTATTGTGATCCGATGCCGATGTCTTCGCATCGTTGACCACCGGCTCTATTCGACTCGAATGGTTCAAGAAGAGAGCCTAGGAGCCATCAAGGCTTCTTTACGCAACCCGTTGACTTCATATCTCTCTTTTCCGAGTGACGATTGGGAATGCATCGCGTTTTGTTCCCCATGATCGAGAGTGAGATGATTTCACTATAATCTTACCTGAGACTCGATCAAAAATGCTGAAAACGAGCAGAAAACGGCAGCAGCGTGACTAGGTAGATTTGACACACTGCGCTATGAGCTTATTATCTAATGCGACCTAGAGGGGCTCCATGGCAGGTCCTTGATATCCCTCTAGACATCTCATTGTACCTCCTACTGTCCTCGAAAGGTATATCTCTGATTGAACAACTGCCAACTACCCGACAGCAACTTCCCCCCTCCTGAGCGCATTACCTTCTCTCACAGCGTATAGCCACCAACATAAGAATCCCCAAGTGCAGTGATCACTGATAGCTGCATCTCAATCAAGATAACATCGTCACGTAGTGCGATATACCCATATGCATCTCGACCACTCATCCTGTTGAAGATTGTCTTGAAGACGACATAACAACCATTCAAGAGGGAAAAACTACCGCCTATCTCCAATCCTCGTATGACAACAAGACACTTTGACAGTGAAACACAGGCTGGTGAATAGCTTCCAATAGAGGCCTAGTAATATAACAACAAGTCAAGTAACGATCAGTTTCGAGAGTGTTTCTTCACTTCCTTCACGAGGCAGCTCAATCGGAAGTACTTTTGAGGTTGTACCTATATCGGAGCATTGGTCCACAGCGAAGAGTCTTCAGACTTCACCAGGTCCTGTCAGCATCCTTCTTCCTCAGCGTTACGGATACCCGCTTCCCCTTAGACACTCGGTGTTTGCACTGCTCGGGTATTATCTCAGCATTCAGGGTCGGAATCGACAATATCACACGCCACCCATCCACAGAGTCCGCCCATCTGACCACTGAATGTAATACTCTTCCGATTACCATAACCATCTCGCTACAGGTCAAATCCAGTTGTTGTGAACTTGCTATGAGCCTCTACAGAATCGTCCTCGAGAGCAGCTAGCAGTTGTGAATCCTCTGTAGAAACACGAGGAAGTGTCCGAAGCAGAATCATACCATAGATTCTCACCAGTATAAACTTTGACCTTTCCCTCATCGTCAAACCAACTGTACTGCTTCACCGTTCTCTATACAATAGCAATTCCAATTGGTCGATGCTCTCACGAACTGCTACCTTCTTAACAACATTCCTGGGTTCGGGAGAAAGAGATCGTCCAATGAGCTCAGGCTGGCCACCAGTGATCAGGCCCGGACCAGTTACCTATCAACGCATCATCACTGACAACCAACAATCTAATCCACTCACAACTTTAGCATCGGGAGGAACATAGAAGTCTCTAGAGTGCGCATAGTAGTATCTTGACGAGTGATCACCAGACTAGCGAACACGAGTCGGCTTACGATTTATCTCCTTTTTCAGTCAAGGACTTCCTAAGCTTGCTATCAGACCGTCTTACCGTATCGGTTTCCTCGCCACTTGTACTACTGCTCCCCACCGGAACAGCCTTATACGGAGGGGCCTCACCCTCACTTCGTGTAGATGACGATGACATTACTCCACTACTGCCTTTTTGATAATAGCCCAGGAATGCAGACCAGAATCCACTTGCACGACAGAACAGTGACGATGTGAGCGTGGACAGAGTGGAGCCCACGATGAACAGCGAAATAAGATAATCGAAACTGAGCTGTGATTGTCAAGACTCCCGAAGTTGTCATCAAACACGGAAAAAGAAATAACACTACAGAAACTCGTTTGTTAGACTTATGTTTTAAATACGATTCCTTTCCACAGTACTCGAGTACCGTGTGGAATCAGTGGATCGCCGCTCTATAGGAGCCCATTCACTGTCGAAAGAATACACAACGAAACGAGGATGATAACACTGCTACCACTGATACTTCAAACGAGGATATCCGTCGTCTCCCAACCATACAACAACTACTACTACTACGCGCAAAAATCAAAAACAATGAGCTCTGTTTCTGTCGGTAGCCCACAAACCAATATCAAGATCATCGTAATATGGCAATAGGAGTGAAGACTTCCCGCAAAGTAGCCTGTTATCACCAAAACAGAGTGATCAAAGGCAAATCGCAATTCCGATGATATGGAATAGGAAATAGAACTATAAGGTCAGTCGAGTACAGACACATAGAGGTTAAAGGTCGAGAATAGATGTCGAGATACTTGCATTTAGAGACGAACCTTATTGGTAGCGCTTACTGTTAAGGAGTATTGCCGTTAGTAACTGACCAGGTAGCCATCCATGTCCGCAGAAATATCACTTCACCTACCATTCGAATTCAGGTCATTTCCAGTCGTACCCGGCATAGGAACAACCGTCCCGGAAAATCCTAAAGACAAACCACAAGTTACTGTAAACACCACCACAATGGGCTCCTCACCAGTAGTGTGCGGAGTGTACATCTGTGGTGGCGCAGGATTCTGTTGTTGTTGGTGAGCATAAGTAGCAGGAGGTGCCATTGACCTCGACTTTTGCTGCTGGTGTTGTAGTAGATGGTGATAGCCATGAGCTGGAGACATCACTCCAGCAGGCGGAACATATCTATCAATAACTCCTCAACTGACGAGCAAAGCACCACCAAGGTTTACCCGCTATTCTGCTGTTGGGCAACCGGACTGTTGTTGGTATAAGCATTGCTGCTAGTCGTGCCATTTCCATTGCCTGGGTTGAGCCCACTACTAGACCCATACCTACAACATCCACGCCGATAACAAACACCCTTCCTACTACTTCCTCTAGTACCCAATAAGAGGCGACTGATGGTGATGGCGAGGATGGCCACCAGTAAGACTAGAAGTCTGCTGTACACCGTAACCATTACCATACTGCTGCGGTGGCTGCGGACTCGCCACATAATGCTGTGGTGGTGGAGGCGCCATACCCCACCCTCCTGAGCCCAAATGCAACATGATCGGCCCGAAAGACCACGACCGAGACCCACCTCGGCCAGCCATGTGATATCGCGCAACACCCCCTTGCATAAACTTACTAGGGCCAGTTCCCTCTCGAGTGGAAGGTTTTACTTCCACCTAACCAAAATTGACCAACGAGCAGTCCAGAAGATCGACTCACCCATTTGCCATCAATGGTGTTCCCCTGCCCATCAACCCCACCCTGGATAGCAGCCTGGGCTTCAGCGGGCGTCTGGAAAGTCACATATCCAAAACCACGAGAGCGACCACTGGTGCGATCAATTCTGAGAACAATAGTACACAGCGAAGCGATTCAGCGCATATCTTGATACTTCACGATGCAATCAGTGACGACTCCATACCTCACAAAGTGCTGTCGTAGCCTCTCTGAAAATCAACAAATTCCAATGGAGCAGCTCCACACTTCTTTCACCTCGATCCACAGTTGCAGGTAGGCCGCCACAGAAGACCTTACAAGGATTATCCTGTGGCATGACCCCATTACTATTAGTCCCAGTAGGGTCCAAGCCTCCCATAGGCGCTTGCCCACCAACCATCATATGCTGCATAACGCCCATTGCCGAATTACCACCCAGGGTCATCGGCTGCCTCAAAGCCGCCTGAGCTCTGATTTCCTCTTGGGAAACGGCTCGTTTAACATCGACAGTTTTATCCAGTAACACATGGGAGTTCGGATACGATAAACACGACTAGAGACACTAGGGATGTCGCTTCGGAGATTCTACCACGCCACTTACTTCCAAGTCTTTGACATTGACAAACGTGATAAAACCAAAACCACGACTGCGGCCTGTGAGTTTATCCATCATCACCACAGCCTCCTCCAGCTGACCAAACTGGCTAAAATACTTCCACAAAGTCTGCCGGTCCACCAAACTCGGTAAACCACCGATAAAAAGCTACGACGAAAAACACAACTCACCAACAGACAACAACAAGGCACTTACTTTTCGCTCCGTCACGTTAGGATTGAGCGTGTTGCTACTGTTGTTTATAATCGGCTGACCAATATTATCACCCACGGTGTAGTCTCTGATGCCCATCATGAAATTCTGCATCCCTTGAGCTTGTTGAGCCAATACTCCCAAGTCTTGTTGCTGTAAATGCTTCCCACTACCGCCTCCACTGCTAACTACAACAAGACCATCCTCCTCAACCGAGGCAACCGTACCTTACGAGAAGCCGCCACTGCTGCTGCCTGGTGCATGGCCATAGCCTGCTGCTGCTGCTGCTGTTGTCTCAACCCACCAATAGACGCGCCGAACTCAGGTATACTGCTTATGCTAGGCGCCACTGTAGGTGGAGCCATCATATTGCTATTCGCCCCAGCAGCCAACGGGGTCGCCCTCGAGCTAGTCGAGGACATGTCCGGCGTGTTAGCAGCAGTACTTGACCCAGTGGCAGAATAGTAGCCTTGGACACCTTTGCTCTGCACGTGGCACTCTGCTGGGGTGGGGGGATTATAGCTGAGAATGATGATAGCGACCAAGCGACATACAAAGTACTACTTACTCGTTTTTAGGAGTTGCCATGTATTATGCCAGATACTGCTTACTCTCTATTGTTACTATTATCAATACTATCGATAAACCACTCCAATTTACTTCTCAAACTTATACAACGACGACGACGACGACGATGAAACTGCTGCTTCTGCTGCTTGTGTCTACGAGATTGCCTAGGGCTGGACTAACCTAAGGAGGTAAGCCGAGACGGCTGAGCGCAATCAAACTGAAATAGGAGTAAATATCAACCGACCCTCCGACCCCATTGAAGCACTTAGCACAGAGCTAGCCTTGAACACAGTGTGAACGGACAAAAGTCCTGTAACACTCAGTTGTCACCAAAGAAGGAATAGTTGACGACTTCCTGTACGACAACGATGGGGATAAGGAACCTGACAAGCACTACTGCAATGAGAATTGTCAAAAAACATACGACAATCCCTAAAGCCTTGCACTCGGCGATCGAGGGCTACTACTTCAAGAAGCTGCTGCTCACCCCTCTCACTGTACAGCTGATAAATACTAAATCATCGCTTCCATAATGGAGGCGGGACAAGCCAATAGCGCCCGTGACTACACTACTTGTACGATATGATGGATGACCGGGCGTTGAGGAAATGCAAGATCGCAAGATTACACCCCCTATGTTATTGAAGAATGTTCCTCCACTTAACACTAATACTAGGCATACTCTACGTAAAATATCCCCAACGATGGTCACTCGTGTGACAGGGTGTCACCATTAAAGTGTCACAGCGGAAAGGACGATACCATGGTCGTATCGACGATGAAGCAGCACCCATTACGATTGATAGTAGTTGGATCGATCAGCCACTAGCGAGACAATCATTTTAAATACATTTACTCTATCGTTACTGGGGCGACTTCTCAAAATATCCTCCTAAAACAGGCTTCCGTTCGCTACTAACGACGACACCAGTGAGAAATGTGCAACTCATATGCTACTTCTTACTAAAAGTAATATACAGCCGCTAATAGGGACTGGCCCTATATTGAGGAGGAGGTTGACCGCCATAGCCCTGCTGCTGCTGCTGCTGCTGAGGGTATCCTCCATAACCACTAGAAGGTGCCGCTACATAGCCGCTGCTGTCTTGTCTAGCCCCACCATACTGTGAGGAGCCATAGCTACCACCATACTGCCCAGGCGCGGGCATAGGCTGTTGTTGATACGAACCACCGTTATACATCGGTCTAGCAGTACGGAAAAATGGGGAGGCAGGCTCCAACTGAGCTTACGGTTGTGGTGAGTGATAACCTCCAGACTGATATGATGGAAGCCTTTGACCGTACCCACCCGAGTCGCCACCACCGTAAGACCTACTGCAACGAATGGACTGCCAACAGAGAAAACCCCCTACCCCATTGGGCGCCCTTTACCCTTTCCACGAGATCCCTCGCGACGGGCATGCTTGACCTCCACCTGTATAGGAACAACACTGCGATACCTTCACTGCGCCACAAAATTACATGTTTGTCATCGATCACGTTAGCATCTCCGCCTGCAATAGCAGCCTCAGCATCAGCCGGTGACGAGTAAATAACGTAGCCAAAACCTCTATGACGTCCCGTCTCGCGGTCGTACATAACCAGGGCTTCAGCTACTGTACCATACCGGGAAAAGTGGTCATTCAAACGTGCTAAGTAAACACCCCACTATCTAACAAGTGACAGCCAAAGTAACTACCTTGATCACAACTGTTGGGCAAGCCGCCAACGAAGACCTTACATGGGTTGTCACTACTCTCGCTGGGAGCCGCTACTCTGCCGTACCTTCGAATCCCATAATACTTCAGAGTGAGATGGTATGCTTCCTACCCAAAGTCCCCACTGCCTTTACCGCCACCATATCCTCCTTTACCACCTTTGCCACCGCCGAACCCCTTACCACCTAAGCATCCTCATATGCCTCAGCGACAGTAGATACCCGCCTCAACACACTACCTGCTTTTCCACCATTCTGTGAGGGGCCCTGAGATGCCCTCTTAACATCAACCGTCTTATCCAGAAGAACATGCGGGCCACTTGCCAGGCAGGTCTAACAGGAACAGCTATCACTAACAACAACACCGACGATAGAAGCAGACGCCCTACTTCCATGTCCGTGACCTGGCTGTACACAACGAAGCCGAACCCTCTGGAACGGCCAGTGTTACGGTCAAACATGACGACGGAGTGCTCGACAGGACCAAACTGCGAGAAATAGCCGTCCATGTGCTGCTTTTCACAGGGAGCCGGCAAGCCGCCAACGAACAACTACAAAAAACAGCAATCCTTCAGCGGAGCGAAGCGGCATATACCTTCCGGTCATCCGACTCCCTAGACCTCATGGCACCTCCTCCTCCACCACCGCCACCACTCCTAGGCGGTGCCCCATCCATAGCAGGATAGGGAGAACCCGATGATGCGCCTGTGGTACTCATATAAAAATTGGGCGCCTACAACGTGACAATGTGTAGCCCAGGACGATGTTGGACAACCGTCAAGAGCCTGCCTGAAGAGAGACAGCTCATAACACAACATAGAGGGTCAATACTCGAGACCACTGGTGCTCCAATGGGGTTGCATGCGCAATGTACAAATCTGAGACAAGTGCGAAAAGCTATCACCGAGCATCGCTTCTACCTCTAACACACTGCAGACTTTAGAGCTATTCCTGGCTAGCGATGGGAGTATCACATTATAAATCAACTACAATGGACGCTCCTATCAGCAACTATGATGATTCCTCTCACACACAGCCTCAACGCAACTAAATCAAAAGGTCTAGTCTTCTCTAAAGAACTATGTCGGTCCCAGAGAGATAACGAGCAGGAAGGAGTGTAACGATAGACAGGGCTCATCATCAGTCCCGACAGTAACAGTTTCGGCAACTTAATGATCCCATACTCGCAAACAACAGCAGCAGCAGCTACTCGACACCAGTACCAGCGTCACAGTGAAGGCAGATTCTTCATTACTATTTTACGTCAGCTGCTGCTGCTGCTGATGATGGTCTCTAGTAGGGGCTTGCTCGCGATGGACCGCCATACGGACCCCCATAGCGAGGTTGCGAGTTGTTATCTAAACACACCAGTACAGTCTACCCTCTCCTGCTCTGCCCTACATCCTCCCATTGGGGGCCGTCGCTGGTCTTGATGTTGATACCCCATACCACCATACCCTCCTTGCTGCATACCATACCTACACAATACTCACATTATCGCCACAATAGAGACTTCTCAACTCACCCTTGTTGTGGTGGTGGAGGAGGCATGCCATACTGCGGAGTCTGGTACATGCCCATCGGCCGCTGCTGCTGATAGTAAGCGTTGGATGCCGCCTTGCTAGCTTGCATGGTCGCTTGGTAACTACCAGAACGTGAATCAACCAGAAGCACCACCTTCACATGCTATTCGTCACATATATGAAAGTATGCACGTGTCAGCGAAAATACGAAAATTCTTGGAATTTATTTTTTCCATCCGAATTCGTGTGCAACACTAAGCTGAAAAAACCAACATATACTCCAACAGCCTACTCGTCAGAGCCTCTACTGAACCGTCCTTGGTCGCCATAACCACCAACATTGCCATAATCATTATACCCACCAAACGATCGTCGGGGGCCTTCCCTTGTAGTGTGCTTTACATCAACCTGCATACATTCAGGAATCCTCCACACCCTTCCCTAAGGTCACTACCCATTTTCCATCAATGATGTTATTAGCCGAATTACTGATAGCTGCTTCAGCCGCGGAGGAGTCCTCATATGTAACATACCCGAACCCTCTGGACTGGCCTGTCATTCTGTCAGTACTGAAAACAACAAAGATGAACTGGTGACCAACACCGCCATCGCTCCTACATCACTGTACAGTCCACCAAATTGCCATACTGTATAAAGAAGTCTCTGAGAGCCTCTGAGCAAGTGCCATCATATGCACCAGAAACTACCGACGCCTTTTATTACCACTGGTGATCTCACGAGGAAGACCGCCAACGAAGAGTTTGTTAGGATTCTGGTCTCGGTGGCCCCCCTTCCTGAAATGAGCGGCCGATCATGTCCTGACAAATGGGATAACACCGACCCTGAGCCATAGTCATCGTAGTTCCTAGGTGCTCCAGCTCCCTTCCCTAAAATTCCATACCACTCCTCGCCGACTTCACAACAGCGTGCCCTACCTGCTGACCGTCTCTCATGGGCCGTAGAAGTGCCATCATCATTGATGGACCGTCGAACCTCGACAGACTTGCCCATGATGACATGAGGCGCCGCTGCCACACACCCCTAAAGAAACTTATATTTCCCCACCACCGCATAGGTCCACTTACAAGCATCTGTTCCTTAGTCTCGAACGTGACAAAGCCGAACCCTCGGCTTCGTCCCGTGAACCGATCCATCATCACCACTGAATCTTCTACTGGACCGAACTGGCTGAAGTACGCATCCAAAGCAGGCTTATCGGCTTCACGTGGGAGACCGCCGACAAAAACCTAATCACACACACATGACATGTAGGTGCCCAGTTCAGTACGTGATACCTTCTTAGTGTCGTCTCCCCTCCTACCAGGCGGCCCATCATAACGAGCAGCAGGAGCAGAAGCCCCGGGGTTGTGCCCCATCGGAGGCGTTTGACCAGGTGCTGAGGTATTCTGCTCTGGTTGTATAGCTGCAGCCGATGATCCAGCAGCAGCAGTAGCGGCTGCGACGCCCATAGAGGCAACTGGGAGCTCCTGTTGAGGAGTAGTGGCGGAAGGCAAAGGGACGGGAACAGCCTGTCATACACGAGGTATAATAAGTGCATATCAATACCGCCTAGAGCTCACCTGGGGTTGTTCCTGTACAGCAGGCTCGATAGGCTTCTCAGGCGTCGGAGCTTCGACGGTCGTTACGACTTCCTGTGCTTCGGCAGGGGTAACAGCCGGTACGCCAGCTTCCGAGAGTGATGCCTCTGTGCTGGGCTCAGCGGGGGACGCCTCCGTCGACACCTCTGCCGGAGTAGCTTCATCGGTGGGCCCAGCCTCTGCTGGGGTGGCCTCCGGAACAGTAGGTGAGTCGGCAGCAGGTGCCCTGAACCCGAACAATACCATGACACTAGGCCAGGCACTTCAAGAAAGAGCCTACTCTGTAGTAGTCGGGACGGCTGGTTGCTGTTGGTCCATGTTAGGAAGGAAAGAGGGTAGCCGACTAGATGAACTCCACAGAGGATGAATCTCGATAGCGCCCCCACCAACACAATGACCACGACGATAGACTAATAGCAGTGGTTGAGACATTCACGTGTAGGGGCAGTCCGACTTGTCGTGATAGGCACCTCTTGAAGATGTCTCCGAAAATACAAGTGCGTATCCTATCAAGATCATTCGTCCCCATCTGGACCTACTTTGTATCTTTAAAGCTGAGTACCCGAACCAATACCACACTTCTGCCTTTTCTGACAAGTCCCTCGTAGATAAAGCTACCGAGATCACTGCTTTCTATCATCCAGCAAGGAGCAGCGCTCGGGCTCGAGTTCGTTTGATATTCTACAGCTGTTCTAAGCTCGGTCGTGGAACTCGTCCAAGAGTAATTCCCTCCTTGCCGTGCTTGGTGGCTTAGTAGGGCGACCACCAGCATGAGGAGTGTGTGATTTACGACACCCCCTATGGGTCCGCTATCAGCCACCCAGTGACTGACAGCTCGCTGGACAAGTCAGCGAGCTGTCAGTCACAAACGGAAAACTGATTAAGGAACCTTTGATAGAGATCACATACCCCCCTGAGCGATAGTGTGGTCGAGATTGCTCCTAACAGGAGCGACTCTCACGGCGCTATACCAAGGAATCGTCGGCAACCTGAGGGAGGAGTGGTACTCATCTGGGCGAACCGCCATTACCCGTCATGCGACTGATGAGGCTTCGAGCATCTGCTGTCCCAACACGAGGGTAATCTGTATGGGTGGTCGAAACGGGCGTATGCCGCGAGAACTATGGGCTTCTCTTTGACAGGCAATAACGGTCCTCTCCTACAGGGCTTATCAGCTACTACTGCCTACGATCTCCCATTTGGTCGTGTATGGGTACTGTGAGCATCGCTCCGCTCAGGAGAAAATTGATGCACGAAAAGTGCACGAAATTGTTGTGCCCAAAATTTCGAAAGCGCGTCTCTTGAGCTCGGGAAGCACAACCATCTGCCGGTTTGATTCGCCATAAGCCTCATTGGCACTTACCTCGCATGAACAGCACGAAAATCGCTAAACAATGGCGCGATTTGGCCACTGTGGCTGGGCTTGTATTTGCTCGACTGTCAATTGACGTACCGTAGCGAGACGAGATAATTATGGTAATTCAGTTGCGACTACTTGACTTCTCTCCGTTGAAGATTGCAGAATCATCGATGTCAACAACGTCGACTCCGGCGGCACCACCACCAGCAGTGGAAGATGCCTCTACCTCGCCGCCCTTACCCAGGATTGCGGACATCTCTGAGGCCTCTGCTTTGGCTGCTCAGTTCGTTATAAAGCACCAGGAGGCGGCTAAGAAGGCCGCCGCTCAGTCCACTACAGCAGAGACCAACAATGCATCTACTACCAGTGTTGGCAACACCTCAGCTGTGGCGCCTCCTCCTACAGAGTCCCCTTCATCGGGTGCTGTCGAGTCCGGTGAGCTCCTGGATAGCGAACTGTCGTCCTTTGTTGGACGAGTAGCTTTAACCGAGGAAGATCACCACGTGCATAATCATATACTAGGATCGATCCTCTCAGTAGCACGAAGCCATCTAGATATTGAGGCCACTATTGAGACCTTCGGGTCGGCAGCTAGCGGTCTTTCCGAAAAGAGCAGTGACATTGATGCGACGATTATATGCCGATTTTCGGCCTTGAAAAAACGCTTTGCTGCAGCGGTTGACGAGAAAAGTCTATGTTCAGCAGCCGTCCTGGGTTTGGGGAAAGCGATTAGTAAATTCGAGAAGGAAGCCCCGGGTGTAGGCCTTAGGGTTGTGCAGGTGCTATGGGATGAAGACGCCTAACATGTACGCTGCTTGTCATCAGGTCATCCCCTCAGCTAAGGTTCCAATTGTGGTGTTGTCCTGGATCGGCCCGAACGGCAACGTACAAATCGTGGATGTGAGTATCAATAATCAACTACCTCTGCATAACACCGCGGTGAGTCTGTGGTCATCCCTCTATGTGTAGTGACCTGTTCTCAACAGTTATTGCGGAACTACGTTGAAATGGATAAGCGGGTTCAGATACTAGCACTTTGCGTTAAGGTAAGTTGCGGACTCCTATTGCTCTCCGTATCTACTCTTCCCCAGCGATGGGCTAAACTATGCGGAATTAGTGACGCCAAGCAGGGCAACCTCAGTAGCTATAGTTGGACCTTGCTCTGCATATATTTTCTACAAGTACCTATACCGCACCACCATCACTACACTGATTTGCTTGTCGATAGGTGCGGTCTAAGGGCGCCGTGCTACCGTCTCTACAGTCAATGGCTGCTAGGAGGCGGCAGGGGGAGCAAGTGAGGCATTATTCGTGCCCCATAAGTGGTCGCGTTTTTAACGTCGACTTTGTAGACAGATTCGGTAAGTTGTCGTGGAGGCGGGTCTATTAGAAATGTATCTTTACATGTTTCAGAGGCTACTACTGGAGACGATGCTTTCGAGTCAGCGGACACCCCATCATCGGAGCTTCTGCGCGATTTTTTCGTGTTTTATGATAGCGACTATAAGTGGGGTACTGAGGTAGTGCAGATGTTGGTAATGTCCTGCAGGATGTGTTTTCGAGCAGGTGGTGTCCATTCGAATCGGGGAGAGGCGTAATATAGATGAATATTCACAACTACCGAGGCGGGATACCGAGAACAATGTTCTTATAGAGGATCCTCTGGACCTTAGCAGGAACCTCAACTGTGTGTTGGACTACGAGGGCCGTATTAGACTTCGTCGAGCATTTACCCTTTTCGCAGCTAAGGTAGCTGATGCGACGATGGATGAGCTGTTGGTACAAGCTAAGACACTAACGAGGATGCGGACGGGACCTACGGCTGCAGCAATGGCAGCGAAACATGCTCAGAGTGCTACGGGGGTCGGAGTTGCAGCTCCCCATAGAGGGCTTACTGCGCCTACCTTGCAACAGCACACGGCAGCTATGTCTCAACAACAGGGGCGTTCTGGGGGCATGGAGTACATGCGGTCAAGTCATGAAGCAAGTGCTGACTATCAAGGGCGAGGGCTAGGGTCTATCATGCAGGGTCCGATGGGTGGCGGCGGTGGCGGTGTCGGGTATAATATGGTGGAACTCGGGCATAATGATTTCAGAGCAGCGCCGTCCAACTTGGTGTTGAGCCCTGTCACGAATGGTCCGGGGGCGACTACTGGAATTGATGGCATTAGAGGTGTACGAGTACAACAACAGCAGGCGAGCAGTGGGGGTAGGGGTTATGGTGCTACTAGTGGAATGAATAAGGCTACTACTGCTCCTCCATATTACCAATATGGCGGACATCACCAACAGCAACAACAACAAGCCCAGAGGGAGGCGGTCCAGAGGTATATCATGCCGTCGTTGGGGTACTACTTAGAGTTGCAAGCTGATGGTCATAGTTGGGAAATTATCGATCGGTGGTGACACCTGAGATGAGACTATAATTATCGTTTTCTGTAAAGCATTGTGCTTATGCTCCTATAGGATAATTAAGAGCTCAGCAAAGATGAAGTATTATGACTCTATTATGGACATTGTCACTACACCAGCTTTCGAATCGACGTGGATTGTCGTTGCTATTGATGATAATGGTAATGGTTATTGACCTTACCCTTCAGTCGCTATAATGTTGAAGACTCCGCCACGAACATGACCATCTCGTTGTTCTTCTCTTTCTCCTTCACCTTCTCATTGCCCTAGCCTCGTTCTATTGTGTGTTGCTGCTCTTCATCATCATGCCGCCGTCTTCTTCTTGTTGATGGTCCACTTTTACGAGGCCCTCGGTGTTGTCGATGTATGGCTATCGTCACAGCAAGCGGTGATCTCGGTCATCCTTCCAAACCTGTACAGGCGTCGAGAACTACCAATGCTCGAATGGTAGGTGGTGATGGAGATAGCGTCATCTATTCATTCAGTGGTCTCGGTGGCTTCACTCTCACGATCTCATTACTCGATGACTTGTGTTTTCCCAATACTAGGATACCACTCCTTGACCAACTTCGAACGGAATAGTGCGGACAGGAATGAATGCAGATGTCTCAAGTTGGGACATCTGCTGGGATCTGTGGCATTCGAGAGCTCTAAATCGACGGGAACCAAGGGGAATAGCGAACCTAGTAAAGGCGCCACTGAAAAGGACAGAACAGAGATAATTCATACAGCGATCCGATACACTACCCAAGATGATTCTCACTTCAGAGGGAGGTTAAGAGGGGCATGTGCAGGTGACTGGTGTAGGAAGGGCTTCCATCAATTCCCTGTAAGATTCGCTCATCGAGGTGGACGGTGTTAGCAGCCACGGTGGTAGTATTAGGAACGAGTAATCGACATGCGACGATCGATCAATTCAAGAATGGATTCGAAACCTCCCTGAATTGAAAGTCGCATTATTTATGGTTGAACGTAGCAGAATCAGCAGTTATTCGTTTTCTCATCATGGAGCCGTCCCGGTCCTCTGAAAATACAAGTCCTGTCAGCTCGACGGTAAAGAGACCATCGGCTGACTGGGAAGGCGCATCTCGAGGTCATTCAGGTCCTCAGCCATAGTGCTACCATCGGGCCAACATCACCATCACAGGCAGCCACTGCAAGCGCTATTCTGAGGTCTGGATCTGTTGGGACTTTGAAAGAGAGTATTTACAAAGGCTGAGGCTCCTCAGTATGAATGAATCTTTGCAGGAACAATGTCGGACGGACAGTTGGAAGCAGCGAAGCGATATAGTAGTAGTTTTTACGTAGAGAAGGGAGGGCATGGTTGCTCTTCTGAGGTTCCACAGTAATTGCTAATGAAGTTGGTGATCTATTGGAGCCACCGGTCACACCGTTCAAACTGAAGCTCATCCATAGGAAGCTGAACTTAGTGATGAGCGCGATGACCAAACTAGAGGTATGGATCTCTCTATGAGCTTCCTCCCAGTGTCATCATCTCTAGTCTCGTGCACGGGAAGGCGACCGACTCGAACGGGAGGTCAGGTCGTTGCAGAGGTCCCTGCGGGCTGAGAGGTCTCGGAGGCTGCTCATTCAGAGGACTAATGCAGAGCTGCAGGAACAAGTAAACTGCATGGAAGAGTATGGGGACATAAGCGCAATCCAGAGACATCCCTTTTGGGCTTCTTGCATGTGCTTCCGTGATGCATTGAGATACTTATCGAGCTCAGTTTAAGAAACCAATCGCATATTTCTCCACTGAGATGGATACTGTTCTTGTAGGTTGATGACCTCGGTGAAGCCTTGACAGAGAGAGTGAAGAATCTAGAACAGTACGAGGAAGCTGCTCGACGTGCCTTGGAAACGAAGGAGGATTTTGAAAAGCAACTGGATGAGAGACGGCAGACTCTGGAAAATGAGGAGGAAAAGGTCACCGATTGTGGTGCTCGCCTCGTGCACAGATTGTATTCAGTTGCGGTCATCGGTGGGGCTGGTGAAGCAACTTCAAGCGGAGGTCGAGGAGAAGCGCAGGGAGGTGGGGGACGCTAGAAAGCCGCCTCAATTCGATAAAAGGAGACGCACGAGTGTTGTTATACGATTAGAGTGAGTGCACGAGCTCTTAGTATGATCGGAACCTTGCTGAGCTCAGAGAAGAGAAGCAACGCAACGAGATGATATCGCTATCAGATGATGAGGCCGGGGACGCAAAGGGCTTATCAGTGGCAAACAAGTCACGTGTTGAGTCTACAACCTCATGAAAAGCACCGTGAGCGAATTCCGCAGTGGGCTGGGAGAACACCCCCGTGTCAGATTTTCTATCGTGGATGGTCACTGTTACGATGAGTCACATGCATTGAATGATCATGGCTTACAGCCCCTTTGAAAAAGAATACATAACTGAGCTTTGAGTTCGTCACCAGTGGATATTTTCAAGCTAACGACGAGTACCACCTCTAGTCTGGACGTTGCTTTCGATTCCACTTCAAGTGAAAGATTTGAATACCCGAGATCGCTCATAGCGATTCTGAGGGTGACGAGGATCCTCCGTCGGGGTGGTGGTATATGAATGCGTCGTGAAATATGTGGCAAAGATTTTGAACGTGGTAATTGATTTCTCCGAACGTGAAGCGTACTCGAAAATAAGTGTGCTCTATCGATGCTGTTGATCGCCATAGCCCCTCTGAGAACTATACAACACAACTCAATGACAATGATACTGCACGAATTGTATTGGTTCAATCATGCAATATGTTGACCGAGAAAACAAGAGTTAAACGACGTAAACTAAGTCAGAGCTGATGAACACCAAAACCAACTCCCATTCCTCGTGCTTCGGACGTAGGAGGACCCGCCTTGTGGTCATCCTGCAAGTCTTCTAAACCACCATTGAGTTCGGCAGTGGTGAAAACGCTGAGCTTCTTTCTTTCAGCGAGCGCGTTAACCTTGTCTCGCAAGTCTGAGTAGAAGCAGCTGTACATAGGGCGTCTCCCGAGTGAAGGGATTACCATCGAAGTTCATGAACTGAGCCCTCTCAGCAGAGAACACGTCAACCACCATTTCACATAAGTCATCGATCCTGATGACGAGGACCGCTCCCACCACACAGGTGAAGCCGAAGGTCACCTGTTGGCTCCCACAGCGACGGGAGCGGCTGATTAGGCCAGAGTTTGCTGCATTCTAGTGCGCTTCGACCGAGTTGCCTTGTGGACATCCACACGTACGGCTGGACCATATACTCTGACTCTCTCGCTCATCAGTGAGGAATTATCTAAGATCAACGAGGCATGCTACGGATTCCCTAGGGCTGCTGCAGCCGAGGCCAACCTGAAGGCCCGCTGAGCAGCATTGAAAAGCTGCTGCTCGTTCCTGGACATACCAGCGTGGATGGCGTCGCCGTTGAGATCAGCCATGGGAACGGCAATGTCACTAAAATGTCCCACAAGCATCTGATAGCAGCAATACCGTAATAGAACTGACCCAACACGTGGTCCAGTCGCCCGATAAACAACGTCTATAAGAATTACTAAAACCGCGCAGTTTAGTCGGTGGATAAAAAATCCAATCATTTCGGAGGGCCCCTGGAAAACCCACTTCAATCGTTTCACAATCCAACGCTTCCGCCTAGTGACTTGTCTCGCCTTGATCTCATTAGTGACTCATTCGAATCGTCGAATAGAGGAGCCTCCGTTCGGAAGTGTTATTACTAGCGAACACAGCGGCGTCCGGTAGAGCTCCACATGTCGTTCATATGCACCATACACGTTGCGTTGAGCTCATCAGAATTCAGTCAGATGAGGCGACAGCAGCAGCAATGATTTCAACGATAACAGTAATTACCCAATGAGAAAGCATCACCCTCGTTGGTAGTCCCGTCGGTCTGTCCTCCCCGACTATACCTTCTACTACAATACCACGAGAATACGTCAATAGCATTCCCCATGAGACAACTATGACCTCCTGATATCACTGCATACTACGTAGTGCCGGGACTAGACTACTTTCATACGTCCAGCAGTTACAATCGCTCATATATCAGTGATATAATATCTTTGGTGATATAGTATCACCAAAGTCAGACTAATGAGCTCCTCTACCAAGTCAGTAACCAGCTCATTGCCTCCCGAGCGCTGGCATTCTCAAGCGACTACATTTCCAGTAGGGTGGGCATGATGACGGTGAACCCTCTCCTCGGGCACCCCCGACGCTGTTGATCAATATCGTGCAAAGTAGCCATATAATAAAGCCTATCGAACATCGAGGAACAACACAACCCTTGGGTGAATCTAGATACGTCCTGGGGCTTGCGGAGAGGACCGCCTCGGGCATCGTCCATAGCAGCTCGAGAAGCACGAATTAATCAACGTCACAGCAGTTTCTATTCCTCTTCTACCACCTTGTCGTTGTCCTGATCGAAACACCATATTCCAAAACCCTTAGTCCGACGGGGTGAATTCCTCCAACACTATCTCAACAACTACCGCACACACCCGCCTGTGAAGGAACAATTCAAATCGTCAAATTCATCACAAGTACGCTGACTGTCCTGCGACAGTTATGACAACTATACTGTACATAGTCCAGCGAACTCGACAAGCCTCTTGTGAACCCACGAGCTGTCCTTCAACACAGTCGATCCAACGAGTCTATCATAGCAGTCCGTGCAGTACCTTAGTGCAGACATATATATAATGAACATTGTCCTTCTCATCACCACCAATAGCAGTAGTCATACCCATCATGGGCTTGGCCACGGTATGAACCTAGGGTAAATCAAACTCAACTCTGAACTCGAACGGGGTGAACCATTACCTTCACAGACCATTGGAAGTCTGGTTTCTGGAGGTATGTGAGACGATAGCTCTGCTGACCATGTGATATGCATATGTAAACGCCTCGAGACGGATTTAGTACTCGAGAGATCTACATAAAACTGCGTTAACCTTGCAAGCGGACTGTCCCCCACGAACCTCGCTTAGCATCTTCTGTGCGTTTTGGCTGGATCCCTCGCCACACAGTATGGAATCAAGCGTCCCCTTGTCGATAACGACGTCAAACATGCCATCAGCGAAGTCCAGCGCCCTGACCCAACACATTCCCAAAGCTAGTGCCTCATGAAGACTCCACCTGCAATCGGCCTGCTGATAAACCATACCAGGCTTGTCCTGATACCGCTCTCCCATCTGCTTCACGACAGCATCTGAGACCAAGCACCGTAAAAATAAACTTTTCGTAATAAAACTGACCAGAAATGTCAATGTTGACGATGTTGTGATACCCTTCCTCGTACATCTCCTCGCTCAGCTTAGAATTACCAGCCCCGACATTCAGGATCTTGTCTTCGGGCTTCACATACTCTTGTACGACCTGTGAAATGCCATCACTGTATCGCTTACACTAAAGCATTTTATCACGTCTTTCAAACCTGCCCATCGCTGGTACCAGTCGAAAGGCTCAGGGTCGCGGGTATAGCGCTCGTCCCAGTACTCCGAACGACCGTACTGAGCCATTAACAGGGATGCACTACGCGATAGCAACTCCCATTGTGACACTAAGACTCAACAGAACATCCTTGAGCTCATATAAACGCTCAAACACTCAATTGAATAGGAGTTTACGCAAGAGCGATATCGAGAAAACCCTGGGGGCTTCGACTAGGTAGTCAGAATGAGTTCTCCACATATGGTCACAAACCAAGTGCAACCGCACCACTACAAAAGAGAACCACATTTCGCAGCGGACAGACTCTCAGTGACTCGGCTCGTCTCGTCATCGGCACTAGAAGGGTCGTTTATCCGACTAAAGGACGCTATACGGTCAGTGGGGTTGTGCTTGACAAGGAAAAAGAATGGAGGATTGACTATCATCTCGAATGCATCTGCTGGCGACATCACAAAGGCTCTGTTCATGACCATACTTGTAGTTGCAACAGCTTCAGTTCCCTCCTCGTTGACCTCAAGAACTGCCTTATGGAAGACCATACTGATCTGAATAGGACCATCTGACGTGCCAGAATAGTCACCCGACAGATGCAGACCACCTTCCGGTAGAGCGTACTCAACGTCAAACTTGGGAAACATGACCACTCCGGGAGCTTTGTCCATTCTTGTCAACCACAGCTTATACATGGCATCGTTGATAACAGGGGACTTGCCAGCTGTAGTAGACAGTACTATGATAACTGACTACCCAGAGTTGGTATAGGGTAGTGACACCACTTGAACATCGTCACCAGTGCAATAAACGTAGATCTTCATGTATCTCTTCGTCTCCATGCACTCGTCGGTAAGCTGGGGGGTCGAACTTGGCCTTTCAAGAGGGGTGGTTCACTTCTCAGCAACTCAGCAATGGTGCCGAACTCGGACAAGTGCGCACTTGTTACACCACACTTTTCTCGCCAACGTCAACTTAGCACCGTTGTTAACAGCTGAGCAATCGTTTTCATCTTCACAACACTCAGAAATCTACTATTCGCCAACCTTAGCACCTGCGTTTTCATATCTCCACAGCACAGTCTTAAAAGTGCTGAATTGTGAATTAGTGTGAGACACGCACTACGTTTCAGCAATTTTGGCAACTCTACTCAACATGTGCTGAGTTCGCTATTTGGCTACCTTCAAATACTCGACCTGGCATTTCGCGGGAAAGTCAGCAAGAGTGCGCATATGGAACGTGGCGACCCGACTCCCAACAACTCGTCTCTGTCATGGATACACCTTGCCTGAATCTTAAATTCAACTATGCCTATCAACGATTTGGCACATTTGACAAATCTCAACTGTCCCTGAAAGTGCTGGGTTGATGATATTCACTACAACTATCTACGACTTGGCACTCTCGACAAATCTCAAGTTTGACTCGACCTCATCTGCGTGCTGACCTGCTGGCTCGTCAGGGGCTTGACGTGCTGGACCATCAGCGAGTTGACCTGCTGGCTCATCAGCACCTTGACGTGCTGGCTCATCGACGAGTTGACCTGCTGGCCCATCAGCTGGCAGGTTTGCTGCCTCAGCAGCGAGTGGATTTGCTGCCTCATCAACCGGCTGATGCTCCAGTTCAGCCGCTGCCTCGCCAACGGGCTCAGCCGGTGGCTCCTCAGCTGGACCGTCCGCTGGGGCCTCATCCTCAGGCGCGACCCAACCATCGGGGAATAAGTCGAGGTCGACGTAGAAATCAGCCGGTAAGGTAATAGGGTTGAGGGGCTCGATGAGATGCTGGCCAAATGAACGGATATTTTGCCGATCCCGAAGGATCGGTTGGACTTTAAGGTCTGTTATCTCAACACCAATCGTCTCTCAAGGTAGTGTTTCGTCCTCACCACAAGGACTCATCAGTGGCTAACGGCGCCAGACACACCTTAAGTGCATCCCATACAGGTGGTTATCCACTTACCACCTTTCACTCGGTGCACCGGCTTCACCCGATAACTAGTTGGGGAAAACACCTTCGTCACTAGATACACCCCATGGAACTTGCTCTCCTGGAACTTAGACCCCTTCTGTCTGTAATCCTGACAATCTCGCCGTTGGTAATATCACCAAAAACTTGGTCCAGAGGAACAAAGAAGCTTTCGTACCTCCCACGGTCATCGACGATGTCCATTCCAACGATGTGGACAATCGCCTGACGTTCGTCGGACTCATGAAGAGAATTCATGGAGGAAGGTGTTGGATGGATAGTGTGTACGAAAAGCAAAGTAGCGGATTGGTATCCCTAGCGACTCGCTAGGCGAACCTCCCTCGCTACTAGCGAGGTTGGGTGTTTAGGCGACAATCTGACCCTCATGCATCGTCAATGTCAACTTGACATGAAAGTGGTCAACGTGGTCGACATTTGTGGACAACTCATGAAAGGCTCAGCCTGGACCGCCCATGGACTCGCACCATCTTAGTCATTTCTGCAACCCGTAAATCTCACATGACATCCACGTTTGCCGATCGTATTGCTGTGTGTGTTTTCGCGGCGCTCAGAATTTCCATTTCAGCAACCCTTGATGAATGTTGTGTTCGTACTAATTACGTAAATTTTACAGCTACTATACTACAACCTTAGGAGTTGCCCAACGCGTTGTTGCCGAGTTGTGTTTATCCGTAGTATGATTAGTATAATTCAGCGCTTTTTATAGCACAAACTTTTTACAACTAAACAACAACTCGTAACTCAGCAACTTCATCAAGAACATCTCGACAAGAATGTTTTTTTTGACGCATTTACCAGCCTGTGGGGGGAAAATCCGGTTACGGAGAACCTTAGGAGGTGTGGCCCTCAGAAGGATACTGTGGGACTCGCACGACCATACCCACTAAAAACCCCCAGAGGCTGGGCCCAAAAGGCAGAACGTCTGATGGAACCAGCCCCTACTAGCCACCTCTCACAGAGGATGGAGGCTGCGCGTCGCACTTCTCCATGTGTTTAGCAAGATTGCTAGCCCGAAAATATTTCTTGCCACAGCGCTCACAACGTGAACAAGTAAATATCTTTGGCGCTCTCGGCACAGTAGGGATAGGAGCTTTAAACAACTCCTTAGCCACCACAAGTGCTTCAACGAGTGACTTACAAGGCCTGAACAGGTTGGCGTCAGCTTTGAGACTAGTCTGCCACATCGTAGGTGGCCTACCACGTCTTTCAATAAGCTTGAGCCTACAAGACCTCACCACAAGACCATCAGCGGGCTTCGTAGTGAGAATCCTCCCTGCCCATCGCAATCTCCTCTGCGCTAAAACATGTTTCGGATCAACAAGAGAAAGTCTTTCCCAAAGTTGCTCTCCATGCACCCTATCTCTGAGGGTCAGTCCAAGGGACATTCTCCTACAGCGATTCAGGAGCACGTCGAGACGCCTCAACGACTCTTCATGGTAGGGAGCAGTCTCCAAACCGTAAAGTGCCGAAGCGAGGACAACACGTTTTATGATAGACTCCTTGGATGCTAGTGACACCTTATTGGACCTCAGGACAAGCGCGAGACTACTTAGTTTCCCAAGAGCCGCTATCGCCCGGTGCCGATATGGCCGCCATATTATGGCGCTACTAGATCCCTGCCTTTCGGAAAGAGACTACCTAAGTAGACGAACTTATCTACTTCTTCGACGTTAGAGTCACCTATCTTCAAACGCAGATTGGAATCACCCAATCCCTCAGATAAGATCATGCATTTCGTCTTAGGTAAGGACACTTCCATTCCAAACCTAGTCAGAGCTGCCGAAAGCTTATCCAAGTTACGCTGAAGAATAGAATCATCATCCGCCAATAAAACGATGTCGTCCGCGAATAGGAGACCTGAGAGGTCCACGGATTCCGTACTGCCCTCGCTCTCGCAAGGCATGCTCAAGCTGATATCCAGGTTGGCTTCTCTGATCACCATTTCCATGAAGATGATGAACAGAAGAGGCGCTATTCGGCACCCCTGTCTAGTTCCCATATCTATTGGGAAAGGGTCAGATAAACCTTCCTGAGTTTTAACCTGTGCAACAGTATTACGGTGTAGTGATTCGATAGCTGAAATGAGCTTCTCATCACATCCGGCTAGCCTGAGAGCTCTCCAGATCGCAGGACGAGGTACTTTATCGAAGGCTGCTTTCAAATCTAGAAAGACAGCGGATAATCTGCGACCATTCCGGTTGCAGACTTCCTGACATCGACGTAGTACGTGAACCGCATCTAGAGTTCCCTTCGCTGGGAGAAATCCGAACTGCTTCTCTCCAACGAAACTCTCTGCTAGAGGCTTGAGCCTCTGCCCCAAAACTCCGGAATAAACCTTGCCGATATGATCGAGCAGATTTATCCCCCTATAGTTGCCTGCTACCTTCCTATCACCTTTCTTATAGAAAGGGATAATAATGGAATGTCCTAAAGCTCTGGGAATAGTCTCCGGTTCACTCCACCACTCTTTGCACAAGCGGTGTAAGATCCTCAGACAATGCTCACCACCGGCTTTCAAAGCTGATGTGAGCACCCCATTTGCTCCGGGAGCTTTACCATTATCCATAGAGCAGAGAGAGTCCTTCACCTCATCCAAGGTGATGTCATCCCCTCCCGTGCGCTCTATTGGAAGGTCGACTGGCTCAAGGGCAGGTAGAGTGCAAGTTTTCGGAGCAAATAGTTGCGTAAAATGACTTGAAAAGACCTGCGGAGAGAGGAAGAATGTCGATGCTAAAAATACAGCACAATTGGCGAATCCGCGTCGCTCCGGCCTCAACTTCCACTTTTCCGCACATAGCTCATGTGCTTACTCTACCACTATTTTAGCATTTCGCCTACAAAGTGTTGTATCGTAAAGTGCTGACTTGTTTTACCTTCAAGCAAGAGTCTTTGGAGTAGGCAGCACTGACAAGCACAACATCATCGCGTAATGGATCATCGCCCAAGATGCGACCGATCATATGCCTTGGATTCTCAGCAATCGAGACGTTGATTCTGCTAGCAGTAGAGACTTCGCGATGTGCACTTGAACCGGGTAAACGTGACTTGACAGTTGTCAAATAGTCATCGCGGAGCACCTCAGGGCAGACAGAATTAGCCACAGGCATAGCGTTACAGTTATAGTCAATATCAAGTAGTTTAGCCACTGTAGCAACACCAGCGAGTTTACATATTCGGTCTGCAGTAGATCCTGAAAGACCAACTCTAGGTCATTGAATGTAACGGTGACAAGCTGACCTATAACTCCCAGTGCAGACATGGCCAGAGTCTGGTAGATGGACAGTGGGATAATGACAATGTTAGAGGAGGAAACATCATCCACAGATTCTAGTAGTTTACCGATAAGAAAGAACGCCAGGAGATCCATAGAGGTATTGGCTGTGAAATTTGCAATATTCTGCTACTGATCGAACACCTCATAAGTGACGATGCAAAGAAAGCGTGATGCCTGCATTGCGTGAGACGAGTTGCCTTGTATGTCACGAGGATAATAGTCAGGGTTCACAGGTGAGGATGTTGATCAGGATCAAAGTTGATTTCCCCTCCGTGGTAAACGTCATGCGCCTCGAAATCTTTTTCCATTTTCTAGCGGAGCGATGCATACATGTCGCGAATCTCTCTGCTTATTCCAATCTTAGTCACACCAAAGCTGAAGCTAGAAAGATACCCCACGGGCCTTATAACATACCCACTCCAAGGCATGCTAGTCAGAGTAGGAGACCTTGTGGTCACCAACCATTTAACTTTGCATATGACCATCTGTCTCCTGTTGCTTGTGGATAATCATATTAACGCTGTAGTTGCTCTTGTGAGTATGTACCGATGTGGTGGTACCCAGCCAGCGTCCGTCCTGTATTACATCGCGCCCAGTGCGATGGACTACTGCCCCCATACTGAGCTATGTGACTGTACCTGTCACTGTCCATGTGCTTGCCATGATAGTGATACCAGGTAAGAACCTATTTAACTCTGTCAAGTCTCGTCTCTCATATCTACAGGTTGCGTGGACCAATCGACTTGACTGACAAGCCACTGATTGAGTGCATTCGAGGGGGATATCCATTGTGGTGGTTAAAGACCGCTGTGACGGTGGGGAAATGGAAAGAACTCAACTGGCAAGAGCCAGACTCACTCAACACCGCCCTGCATGTGGCCTGTGGGGACGCTGTTGTATGTTTGCTCGCTTTGTCTCCTCCTCTCAGGTCAACCTCCGTACTATGACTACTCTCTCGTCGAGCATCTCCTTCGTTATGGAGCATGCCCGGATATTACCAACGCCAAGGCGGAGACGCCGCTTCACATTGCTGCGGGGTACGTTCGATTCGGAAGTAGTGCGATATGTTCATCGTCAGATCGAATAACTTGCCCTGTGCTAGACTACTGTATATTCACGGTAGCAGACTCGACTTGATGGATTATAAGCATCGTTTACCAGAAGACAGAACAAGAGATGAGCGTGTAAGCTCAGTGGGCATTCCGCTGGTAGTTTTCCTCATCGTAGATACGTAGACTGTTAACATGTTGAATGTTTGGAAGCTGTTGAACTGAAGTGATGGTTGAATACTAGAAGGATATTGCGTTATATATGATGATGATTTTTCGCCAGTTTTGTTTTATCATAGTTTATCCCCATGCTTTCCACAACTGGATTCACGAGTCGAGCCGTGATGCCTCGGGCTCTCACCGCTGCTACCCGGACAATGCAAGCGAGGTTCATCGCAGTTTCAGCTGAGGCCACACCCAACCCGTCTGCTATGATATTCACCTTAGAGGGCGGAAAGCCGATTCTCGGAAAGGGCGCAAAAAGCATGTCCTTCGAGAAGACACAGTGTGGCGGGTCTCCATTGGCCGCCAGTTTGTTCAGGGTAGATTACACTAGAGCAGCTCTCCCATCACAAACAGTGTGTTCAGATTCATGGAGTTGACAAGGTGCTGTTGGCCGCTCGTCACGCTACTGTAACTAAGTCGCCCGAGACCGAGTGGGAGATGCTGAAACCTAACGTAGAGCTGGTCATATCTCAGTTTTTCGACATACCCAATGTTAAACCAGTAAGTGCCGTGTCCAGCAATTGTCTTGCTGTTGACTTTCCCATTATAAGGTTGCCCCTGATACCATTGAGTACACCCAAGAGGGCCAGGACCAGCACAATGACGATGTCGTCAAAAGCATTCATGAGATACTAGAGCAGAGGATTAAGCCTTTTGTAATGCGATGCTTGGCTCGGCGTTTTGTGGACAGGCTTTGTATCTCTTGGGCTCGGTAGTTCCCTAATGACAGATCCATGAGATCAACAATTGGTTCTCGTGTGTTTCTGGGTCCGTAATAGACTTCCCTTGTGAGGTGAATTCTTCGAGGTGTGGTATGTGGCCCTCGCGTAGTTCTCAGTGCGGTTGTCATCATCTTCCTCCTCTTGATCAGGTCGAGCGAGATGGCGGTGATGTTGAATTCATTGCGTTTGACTCGGACACCGGAGTCCTCCAAATTCGGCTCGTCGGTTCATGTGAGTATCTCGGTCATCGGTCCTATTCTGATTTCGCGCTTTATCGCTAGGTGCCGGTTGCCCCAAGTCAAGTGTAACGTTGAAATTCGGTATCCAACGAATGGTCTGCCATTACATCCCAGAAGTTAAGAATGTTATCAACATTGAAGAGCCCACTGATGGTGAAGAGGAGGAGGTTGTGAACAGCGTGGATCCGCAAGCCAGTGCCGAGCCCAAGGCTAGCCCGAATCCTGAAGCCAGCACTGAGCCAGAAGATAGTGCTAAGTCGCAGCAAGCCTAAAAGAGTCTTCCGCCTTATATGTAACCATTGAAGTTGCTGTTCCATAAGTCATCGAATTATTACTCGACTCTCGAGATTCGACATCAGCCTTGCGTTGGATATTTCATATGAGGTCAACTTGAGCACTACTCGTTTGGTCGTTATGATGACCGTGACCGCCATGGGTTTATCAAGTCCAATTGAAACATAGCGTCTCACGCTCCTACCGAAAGCTGTATGCGAATAACATGTCGAGTTACTCAACTATTAAAATGATGGTGATGAAATTCGAATCGTAATGACCATGCTTTCTATGGTGCTCCTGCTGCTGCTGCTGACTCAAGGGTACTGGGAAGTAAGATCATACACCCTTTTCAACCACTTCGATGATCAAGAAAACCGTGAATCATGCTTGGATAACGCGCGACGTTAGTGACGATGCTATCACACTCATCGGTGCAGAGTCATCTGTCCATTTAACAGCAACCCTTCTCGTTCAATCTGCACAAGTCAACGATCGTCATCATGAATCTGACTGATTTTTACCATCGAATAACACAACAGTGTTGAGGAAAAGAGGTACAATTATAAACTCGAATGAGGTAGAACATGTTTTGTACAGAACTCGGGAACGTTATCAGACTCCAAGATTCTTATCAACTCGGGGGAAATTTCAACCGAAATCTGCCGCCAATCCTTTTTCGCTCTCCCAGTGCAGAATGTCAACCTTACGAAAAATGTCATGTACACCCCTCCTGCTTTAACCATACCTGAACTTCCACTGAGAATCAGTAGGCTTGAAAATGTCATGCTGGTGGTCCCCTGGATAGGCTAAGACGATTTGAGAAGGAGTAGAAATTTCCGGGATCGGCCGTGGTTTGATAGGGTATCTAGATAACCACTACAGGACTCACTTCACATTAACGGTTCCAACCTGAAGTAGCTCCGTGAGAGTTGCCTCGCGCGAGCAGCAATCGCCTCGGGGCCCAATGGAGCGACACTCTGCAGCATAGTCAGTGTGTGCCATTGGGGAGGTGGTAGTAAAGTCAAACCGCCGCTGGTCTTGTACCTACGGCCACTTTAGGAGTCAGTACACTGCTAGTAGACATACTCCATAAGAATCTGTGAAGGTGTTCGCCACACGAGTTGAGTCGTCTCTGACCCATCGGAAGCTGCGGCCTCTCGAGCACTTTGCGCAGCCTTACTGTGGCTGTCTATAGCGTAGACGTAAAAGCGCGTAATGAAGCCGCCTGTGAAACCGGCAATGTGTTAGCTACTCCCAAATTAATACCACCTTTCCTGGTCTTCAGCGCTTCATAATCTGGCGTCTGGAACTGGCATAGATAGACCATTCGGGAGATGGCCTCCGAGATGTCCAGCTCGATACTAGTCTCCTCTTTGAGCTCGCGTAACGCGCACCGTCGAAAAGCTACGTCGGTGGTATCGCCCGGGTGGCAACGGGAGCAACAACAGCGACTGAATGTGTGTTAAGGCCATAGGCTGTATCGGTGCCTACTTGCTCCTGCCAGCCATATACTCCCTCGCCCATCGTTCGTCTTCCTCCTCCAGTTTGCCTCCAGGGAACACCAGCGCGTGTGGCATGAACCGACTGTTCCCACTACGACGGACCTACCACGAGAGCAGTATACCGTATCAAACCCCGACTGTCCACCGTAGACGAGCTACGAGGGCAGATTCCTTCAGTTCAATTGCTCGATATGTAAAGGTTTGTGGATGAACGGGCCGTCTCGAAGTGATAAGTAAGCCAAAAGGTTTTCCCCCAAATTGATCCCGACAGCAACCTACCATGCATATCTTATCTCCTAGGAAAAGGAGTATACTAGCTGATTGGCTCCAGCGAGGCTTTGACATCTTCAAGATTCAACGTGGCACCTTCCGTTGTGGGATAAAATGAATTTCGTGGCGCGTGACGGGATTCGAATTGTAATTTCGTGTAATAAAGTGCACTACACTTCCCCCACAGGTCTTGGCGCCTCAACGTGGCGTGGGGGTGACCGGTTCGGTATAGCCGGTGCCAAGCCTTGACCACCTCTGCCTATACTCGTACATCCCTCAGCGGGTGCCTTGGAGTATGGTGGGGTTTCTCTCCGTTGATGCCTGTTTAGCTAATTTCTACCGTTTCATTCTGTGGGCTGCTACTATGTGTATACCTGGGCCGGTATGCGGATCCTGATCCACGCGTGATCCTGAGAAAGAAATCACGTCATAAAATCAATGTGATGATTTTATGACATGAACCGGATCTCTTTGCTCAGATCAACAAAATTGTGATCATGGGACCGGATCATAGATCATTCTCGTGATACATAGATCATATCACCCATGATCCTGTCAGTTTTGGATCGGGATCGTAGGTCATGGATCAGCAGGGAAGTTGACATACATGAGTGATCTGATCACTTATCACCTAAGCGAACCAACAAAAAGCGTCACCCAAAAATCGAACCCGGACGAACAATATTGGGTTTTAGTAATGGTTTCAAAAGGCGTTAACCTATAGTAATATTTTTTTGGCTTAAAATGTAGCCTTAAAATGGGTTTCACGAACGGCCGTCGTGTCGAATTCCATTCTTCGATATGTACCTCGTATATAGTACGGACTCTGTACTACGGAGGCTAAGTACGAATTCCTGAATCTCCTCAGTTACTGAGGCTCAGTATACACTTACAAGTAAGTCTCTGTACCACAAAGTATGTATGTAGCATTTTGAAGGGATCAGGATCACGGATCACGAGTAGTGTAACGTAGCAAAAGAGCCCCGTTACAGGATCACCGTATTTTAACACGTAAAGTACCACTGATCCGTTAATTGATCCTTTTGATGGATCAGAAGCTTGATCAAATACTTGATCCGGATCAGAGGGTGATCTCTCGGGACCGAATGGATCACGGATCAACGTAATTTCTCAAGACGTCTGAGAATTTCTCAACTCCTTGATCTTTGGATCACGGATCAAGTTTTTTTCTCAAGAATCATAGATCAGGGTCAAAAATGAGGATCACACGGGATCCAGATCACAGATCAGGGATCACTGATACTGACAGTATCAAAGTTCAGGGATCACGATTAACAGTCAAGGATCAGGATCAAAGATCACGGATCAAGATCAAGAATCACAGATCTGACTCGCGCATCTCGGATCCCGATGGATTTGGCTCAGACATCAAGATCAACGAGTGATCTGGATCATGTGCTTGATCTGTGGATCAGGATCCGCATACCGGCCCTGCTCTATCTTACCCTTGCATTATATCTCATGCCACATCGTTCCCCCTCACGATTTTGTCTCATGATATTCCTGCATCACTGTCTACTTGTCGAGGATTGCTTTCACATTTGTCAGGCTTCGGCCTTTCTTTCTACTGAGTTACGTCGTACTTGCCACTACCTTTGCCCAACAGTTGCTCCCGTGTTCTTTCGCTCAGTTGTCTCATTTTATGCATTCGCATTCGCCCCGCGTTAGTCGTTCTTCCTTGTCGTTCCAGGTACTATCAATTCGGCGTTGTGCCCGAAATCGTTTGCTGGACAAGACGTCAACACCACGTGCAGCACCAGTGGCAGCGGGCTATTATCCTTTTCGAATACTACCTCAGTTGCGTTTGCAGCGAGCATGGTCTACTGTATGAACTGGGAACCATCGCGATGTCTTCTCGCTCTGGACCATCTTACTGTCAATGTTTACCACCATGATTCCCGGTGTATTCTGCCCAGTGCCGAAGAAGCAAGAGGAGCGTCTACTGTACCGTCGTCGACTTGACTTACTTCCCCTAACCAACCGCAGCTGTATTCTGTCTGCCGTGTAAACCCTGTTCTGGTGGTTCATTTCCCTCCCCGTGCTTCTCTTAGCATATATCGTGCGATGTCATCACTTTCGCATATGTTAGAGCTGCCCGGGGTCTATATCGTCCTCCTTATAGTAGTCGTATTTCTTTCCCTATCATTTTCAACTCCTTTTTTTCAAGTTTTAAACTAGATATAATACCTAAATTTGGTATTATATCTGGCCCCGCTCTTTGCATTATTTACCTTTCTCTCTCGTTGTAGTAGTAGCAGCCACATATCTCTGGTGTCGACGGGGTTATAGCCTCACTGTCTCTGCAGGTGCTTCTGAGCCGGCTATTGTACGTTTGAGGGCGATCGGCTGCTAGCCCGTAAAGCCCAGCAATAAGCATTGCTTTGCGTTGCGTTGCGTTGCGTTGCGTTGCGTTGCGTTGCGTTGCGTTGCGTTGCACTACACTTGTCGTCTAAGACGTCTGTAACACGTCTTGTCTTTTACGCCGTGATCCTCTCTAACTTCAATCCTTGAACATCTACCACTCCAGCTTACGTCGGTATGTCCGCGACACGGCCTCCATATCTCAGTGTTCGTGTAACAGGCCCTTCGTTTGACGGCCAGACCATCAAACGCTCCCAACAGTGATCATCCCTGAGTCGAACTCTCTTCCCTTGAATGGTCTTGTGCTGACCATGGTTCCACACGTCACGGCGTGGCGTCATCACGAGAACTCACTAGACGCACGAAACTTTCATGACTACGTTACCTGACATACAGCAACGAAACGGGATCTTCAGGTTTCTTACGCTTCTTTTCCTATCCGTAGCGACTCGCGAATCGGTAAATCGCGACAGCCTTCTCCATTGTGGGTCGGTGGTTTGGATCGCGCAAAACTTTTGTGCGGATGATCGGCTTTTGTCGATAGCATCGAAAGGTTATAAGACTTGTGGAACACAACACCATGAATATACGGTTGACTTCAATTAGTATATTCAGATCAATGGAATAGCCCTAAACTACGGGCTGAACTACGGGGACAGCTGTTTCACAGTATGCTCAACAGGCTCCATGATGAGTTATAAGCATCTCACTGGTGAGAAATCCATCGTGTACTATAATGCTCCCTGAGGAGCTCTAAGTCCCGAGTACTATAGTGACTCACTAATAGTGAGCGTGATCCACCATAACAGATTCGATGGCGTCACACCGTCTCTTAATTGCCCACACTCTCGAGCATTTGTTTTAGCGTTGATACTCCCATTCACATGCGTCTTCCTGTCATACTCTTCATGGTATACTGCTTCATGCAGTGCTCAGGCCTCAAGTATGGCTCAGAGGGTAACGATCTTGTGGCCCCGAACGAAGAGTTGACTATACATTGTGGTGCTGAAACGTGCTCGGGGCCGAGCTGTACATGTTGTCCGATGCCTCCCGAATATTATGAAGTATGTTGCGAATGTTGATGTATGGCAGGTTGCAATTGTATGTGAAGGCCCAAGATCCTCTACACCAAGTACAACTTCTTCTTGCGCGCAATCTCCTGATGCCGATAGTGACATATGTACGATCAGCACCGTTCATTGCACCCTTTTCCATGCGACATTCTTTGCTAAATTTTTCCCACACCGTTACGAGTTATGATCGTACATTTTTCTGTGCCATCTCTAGTTTCCCATTTTCCGACGCCCAACTCACACAACCTATTTGAAACCTCATCTTCAGAGTGCGGAGGGATTGAGTTGCCATCATGTCAAGCGTAAATTCTGCTACATAGGAAAAAGCCGTATCAAATTCGCACCACCCTGTATAAAAGGGAATGGTGAACCAATTTGATCCCTCTGAGGTTCCCCTGGAAATTGAAGTAACTAAATAACAGGTGATCCCAGAAACCGTGTATTGACGGCGAGAAACGGTTGAATCTGAAATTGGTGACCAATACGTAGAATAATCACACATTCTTTCACTTGCTTGTACGAGTATGTTATTTCAGTGTTGAAATATGTTTTTGGTTACTCCACCTGAGCTCAGGAATCATCGAAACTCCCACACGACCTGTGCAGAAAGCAACGATATTTCCCGACATTTCCTTCTTGTCACTAACACATGCAGTTGACCATATGTATATTCCCCAACACTTCTATGCAAAGCACCTTAGTGATATCAGGTTGAACTGTTCACGTCCATATATGAACCCAACATCACCATCATCGATCTCAATACTTCTAGTAACTAGTTGTATCTACTCACGTGCACTAGTCGTAGTAAATACTCAGTAGACCAGAGAACTAGTACAATACGTATCAACCCAGGGATTGTAATCAATCGCTCAAAGGAGTAACCAATCAGTCAACAACTTTATCACAATCAGTACAGAGTACTTCCACGTGACCGTTACGGATACGTTGCGGAATCCGAAACCGTCGGATACGTCGGGCGAAGATACTCATCTTGCGCACTTTTCGGAAAATACAATTATCATAAAGCATGATACACCGAGTCATGCGAGTACAACAAATCATCATGACATGTCTTATACTGCGAACTCGGTCGACTTAATTACGGCCACCCTTTCTCCTTGGCCGCCGCTTCATCCCTTTGATTCAGTCTTGAGTCGTCCAAGAATCCGAAGAGCTTCGGTCCAGATCCAACTTCGAGGCTCGCCATCTTCAAGTTGCTGCCAGTGCTTCAGGTCCAGTCTTCTCCAACTCCCTCCGTCCTTCAGGTTCTTCTCTCGAGGCTTGACCAACAAGAACTGGATCCAGCATATGGTAGAGTGCCAGGGTAGGTACCGGTAGACATGTCACTGGTCAAGATTGGCCCAGGTGCTGAGGGACTCAAAAGCATGAGATCCCCACCTTCTATGCGCAGGTACAACATCCCGGAGGGTAGGCGCAAGAAGGGGCTGACCCATTGGAGAGGTCAGAGCAGCATGCATCGAGGCATCAGTCCCTTGGTCCTCTCTAACCCTAAAGGTTAGCAGAGGATGGAGCTAGGCTCTCTTTTCATTTCTTTTCTGGTGCTCGGGACTTGAGTTCATATAGTAAGAACTCGCACCGTGCTCAAGGCACAGACCACAAACCTCTGGCGTAGGCAAGATCCAGAGGCGGGTCTTAGCGACATTAGAGATCGCAAGGACCAAGTGACAGTACCGGACACCACACCACTAGACCAAGGGGCACGAAGCCCATCACCCGGCTTGATTGTTAGACATCCCGGAGGGTAAAGCCTGCAGTGACCCAGGGGTAGCTTGCCGCGCCCTGGCATGGTCCGGCCCATAGCCTTTACCAGGAACTTGTGGACAGCGGCCTCAAGAGCAAGACACATCCAGACTTCAGGAGTTGGAGAGACCTGACCATCCACACCAGCGAACAACTATCCAACAGCTCACCCTTCCGCTTTCTCCTTCCCTAACCCTTCTTCATCAAGTGGCCGATCTCGGACTTTACTCTCCAGGAATCGGCGTTGGACGCCAGAGTACTCATGGAAAGGACAAAAACAAAACTGTCCTGGGCCTTGGATGAGCGCCAGCAGAGACGCTGACGCCATCAGTCCGCACTGCTAAGGCTGAGTCTCCGCTTCTCGGAGATTCTTCAGCCACTCGAAGGTCAGCTTCGCCATCTTCAGTAGGGAAGGACGATACCGACGGTCGAGGATCATCTTGTAATTCGCCTTCGGCAGAACTCGCGAAAGCTTCGAGTCGCGTCGGGCACCGTCCAATAAAGGACAGTCTCGTAATAAGTGCTTCACATCTCCGTTGTCCCAGCCGCAGGGGCAGGAAGGATCGGCTCTGATGCCCATCGTACACCGGTGGTGCGGTGTGAGGGCATGACCTGTAATTAAGGCAGCAAGCTCGGGAGAAGACCTACCAGCCTTCAAATAGCGCTTGGCGTGGCTGTAGCCCCATAGAAATCTTGCGCACTTGTCGTTCGGAACGACTCGTTCCTAGGCTCACGTTAGCCGCGGTGACCGCGCAATGTATTCCTACTCCAACACTGAATTTTATTCATGAGTTGCACATGGAAATTCAAAAAGTCTTCACCTACTTTACGATAATTCCATCGGAATTTTCGCAGTGCGTAAAGATTCCACTCACTTGTGGTCAAATGGTGGTGCCTCCGCTTCGCCTGATTTTCCGTCGCCCCACTTCTGTACGTATCCACTTCTGGGGACGAAGTCAGTCCCAGAAGCGTCACTCGTCATGAAAACCTTTGGCCCGTCTTGTGTGTTGTTACCGTGCGCTACTATGCAGTGCATCGTATGCATAGTATGCACGCATCATTTCATATCTGTAACCACTGACACTTCTGTAACCATCTCCCGTAGATGTTTGTATGTCTATCATTGATTCACTCCATTATTGCTATGTCTGCAACGTCACCTGCAGCAGGTGACGGTCACCTGGTGACCTGCGTCGCGTATTATGATCCCGGGGTCAGGGTTCTCCCTAATTATTTCTTTTTATTTCTTTCTAGGTATTTCTTTTCGAAAAGAATACGAAGAAATATTAGTTCGATTGTTTCTAGAAAGAATTGAAAAGAATTGAAAAGAATTAAAAAGAATTCAGTTTTTCGGGTTTTTTGAGATTTAGTCTTACAAAATGGTCGGGTCTATTGACTATGACATGATATAAGAGTTAACCAATGCCGTCGGTAGGTTAGTTGACTCAACCTACTTGAGTCTGCTACTGGAGCCTTCAGTCTGAAGGTTTCGCGGCCAAACTTTGGCCAGACGAGAGGCGGTCTCTCAGAGGCCAGTGGCCGGAGGTGTGGCCGAGGATGACACGTATGAATAATCAAGTTCGGTCGAATTTCTGCCTTTTTTACACTGACCCTGATATACTCCGTCTGAATAGGTCCGGAGGGCCCATTGTATTCAGACTCTGAATTTGGGAAGAATCAATTGGGAACAGAATCTTGATCATAGCTGTTGGAAACTCCAACCACAAAATTCTTGTCCATCGCTTAGAGTCCGCCAGAATAATGCTGACACCTTAACTCAATGGCCCACTCTAATGGAAAGCACTGAGCAGTCTACCAAGCTAAGGGTTTAACTTAAACCGTTTGAGTAACAAGGTAGGACTTCCTCCTCAGAAACTTGATATTCAATCAAAGAATAGGTTAATTTGATGAGAACTGCCAGCGAATCAGAGCGCGACGAATGAAGGTTGCTATGGTAGGCCTGACAAAAGAGGTGAAGTAAAGGCAAATGAAGCTTGAAGTATTCGGGACCTACTTGCAACGGTCAGGCTGTTTGAATAATGCTGCAGGCTCACACGTAGTTGCCGGAATCGATGACAAGCTGTGCATTAGAGCAGCGAATGATGATGTATCTCTGTACATAAACCAAGACTGGCTTGGCCTCATTGTGCACATAATTTTGTCATCTAAGTCCGCATAGGCCCCTAAAACCCTTGACTCACTCAAGAGAATAATGTCAAGAGTTAATGCCCAATGAGAATCTCTTACCTTGATGGAAGAGATATTTCGTTGCGTCCTTGCCACTCTCCATATCAATGATCTTCATGAGTGGACGACTCTTGCTTTGCTGCGAAAAAACGCCAAGGCTTTCTCTTTTCCATGCCGAGTCATCTCTGAATTCCCGTGGATCGAATCTTGCGATCCAAAGAAGGTGACATGATGCATCGCACAACCTGAGCTGTCAGTTCGAAGATAATGTCCAATTGCAACGCCTTTCCACACTCCAATACTCTATAGCTCATAGAATCTGGGTGTATACTTGTGTTGTATCAGAATCGCCATGGACTAGATATTCGAGACACCAAAACTCAGCAATTATTGACATTGACCCCAAATTTCTTCCACACTCTACTACTCTATAGCTCAAAGAATCTGGGTATATACCTGTATTGTATCAGAATCGCCATGGACTAGATATTCGACACACCGAAATCCAGCAATTATTGACATTGACCCCAAATTCCTTCCACACTCTACTACTCTATAGTTCAGAGAATTTAGGCGTATGCGTGTATTGTATCAGAGTCGCCATGGACAAGATATTCGAGACACCGAAGTTCAACAACTATCGACATTGACCTTAATGTCCTTCCAAACTCCACACTCCACTACTCTATAGCTTATAGAATCTAGGTGTATACTTGTATGGTATCAGAATCGCCATGGACAAGATATTCGAGACGCCGAACTTCAGCATTTATTGACATTGACCTTGAATTCATCCCATGCTCTACTACTCTATAGTTCTTAAAACCTAGGTGTATACTTGTATTGTATCAGAATAGCCATGTAGAAGGTATTGGAGACACCAAAAATCAGCAATTATTGACATTGACCTTAAGTTTATCCCACGCTCCACTGCTCTATAGTTCATAGAATCTAGGTGTATACGTGTATTGTATAAGAGTCGCCATGGACAAGATATTCGAGACACCGAAGTTCAGCTATTATTGAAACTGACCCCACAGTCCTTCCACACTCCACTACTCTATAATTCATAGAATCTAGGTGTATACTTGTATTGTATCAGAATGGCCATGGACATGAAATTCGAGACACCAAAATTCGGTAATTATTGATATTGACCCCAAGTTCCTTCCACATTCCAATACTCTATAGCTCATAGAATCTGGGTGTATAATTGTATTGTATCAGAATCGTCATATACTAGATATCCGAGAGTCTCGAATCGAGACACCGAAATCCAGCAATTATTGACATTGACCCCAAATTCGTTCCTCACTCTACTATATAGCTCAGAGAATTTAGGTGTATACGTGTATTGTATCGGAGTCGCCATGGACAAGATATTCGAGACACCGAAGTTCAACAACTATCGACATTGACCTTAATGTCCTTCCAAACTCCACACTCCACTACTCTATAGCTCATAGAATCTAGGTGTATACTTGTATGGTATCAGAATCGCCATGGACAAGATGTTCGAGACGCCGAACTTCAGCATTTATTGACATTGACCTTAAATTCATCCCATGCTCTACTACTCTATAGTTCTTCAAACCTAGGTGTATACTTGTATTGTATCAGAATAGCCATGTAGAAGGTATTGGAGACACCGAAACTCAGCAATTATTGACATTGACCCCAGATTCCTTCCACACTCTACTACTCTATAGCTCATAGAATTTAGGTGTATACGTGTATTGTACCAGAGTCGCCATGGACAAGATATTCGAGACACCGAAGTTCTACAACTATTGACATTGACCTTAGTGTCCTTCCACACTCCACTACCCTATAGCTCATAGAATCTAGGTGTATACTTGTATGGTATCAGAATCGCCATGGACGAGATATTCGAGACACCAAAATTTGGTAATTATTGACATTGACCCCGAATTTCTTCCACACCCTACTACTCTATAGCTCACAAAATCTGGGTGTATACTTGTATTGTATCAAAATCGCCATGGACTGGATATTCGAGACACCGAAGTTCAACAACTATTGACATTGACCTTGAATCTATCGTTCATTCACAATCTATCCCACGATCTACTACTCTATGGTTCATATAATCTAGGTGTATACTTGTATTGTATCAGAATCGCCCAGTTCTCATTAAATGATGCCCGATTGTTCTCTGTTGAAGCCTAGTTGCTCATGACCCTCGAGTATCACCTCCTCCGTTACCTTTACCGCGGGGACTTATTAATAACGTCCTCGTAAGTCGCATTTTCTTGTAATATCTCGACTGTCAATCATCACCGATAGGCGGTGCCTTGTATTTCCATGCTCATACCTTCAAATCATCTTTCGTAAATTCTCAGACTAGAAATTGTAGCATATAATTCAATTGTTTTCATTTCTTTCTCGTTTCTTTTTAAAAATTTTTGAAAGAAATAATGAAAAAGAAATAAATGAATTCTTTTTGAAAAAGAAAGAACTCTGCCCGGGGTCCTTCCCAACACCAGAGAGTAGTGCAACCGATCGAGGGTGAAGTGACAACAATCCCGCTGTGGAAAAACATTAGTTGTTTGGGGGACATTGCCTATGTGCCTGGCAGGCACTGCGTGCGTGCTAGGCAATGTGACTGTGGTATTGAGCCATTTTCGGGGCGCCGGCGCAGTTTAGCGGCCGCCGGCAGGCTTATACCAAATTTTCCCAAGTGATCCGAGTGGTTCTGAAATCTGCGGTTCTGGAAACGATTTCAGAAACGCGCAGAAGAATTTTTGAACACGTTCAGTAGTGATTTTGGAAACGTTCCCGGAAGAAAATTCCAGAATCGGTTCTCTGAACATGGCTTTTCAAAAACGATTCTCGAGTCGATTTTGAAACTCGAATCGATTTACTGAACAGGCCGTGAGTGCATAATGACATTAAGATACCACTAGGGACTATAATAGGGCTTGGCCGGTTACAGCCATAGCCCAAAGATAGATAGGAACCTCTCCGAGTAAGAAGCGACCGAAGGCTCGCGTTTGACCTTCTTAAACGTCCCCCTAGCGGTTTGCCTACGCTCGACGCGTAAACTGCCCATGTCGGGACCGCGGGTCAATTTAAGTGCAACAACCATTGGGTAAACTTTTCCTTCGAATCATGAATAGAATCAAAAGTGGGATATAAGGTGAAGTAGACCAGCAACAGTAGCATGACTGATGAAGATTGCTCAGAGAGCTTCCAGATCAGCAGGCCTCATCCATATTGTTGTACTGGCGATGATTGCATGTAAGGCGCTGGAAGGGAGCTGAATTGGATGTTCGAGTGAGGCGATCTCGCAGTTGTTCTTCCCCTTTTGTAATGGTGACCACCATTGCCCACGAACCTACAGATGCTTTTAAGCGATACTCAATAATGCGTGTCGGAGCACTGAGGACCATTTGTAAGGAAAAAGGCTTACCTTTTGACGGTGAGCAGCAAGGGACTCGTATTTGAGTTGGGTTCTATTGTGAGGATCTTAGGTCGTAAAGAAGATCTTGTAACCCGTCTTTGTAATAATTGCAGCTCCGCCGCCTCTTCTGGTCTAATTAATGCAAGAATATCATCATCAGTCGTTGAGAGCTCCTCCGGAGCATACCCTTCAAAGTCTCCTACGGAAGTTGATATCAGCGAGAGAGCTTCCTCTGAGGGAGGTATTACAACTCCTCTTGGAGCATCATTAGCCACGTCTTCGAGAAAAGTAAGGAGCTCCCTCATCTGTCCGTTCTTCCACCAGTAAGGGCGTTGTTCGTCAGGGCGATGACAGTTTGAACAACAACCGCTTGACTACCAGTGAACTTCATGAGCTCGCAAGCATCGCCGATGAGATAAGGCATATAAGGAAGCAGACAGTGAGCCCTTTGCCTCGATACTGTTGGGAACTTCCTCTCGTTGAAGGAGTTCAGCATACTGCGCGTAGCTGGGCTTGTCACGGATTATCCACCGCCATCGACACGCCTTGCTCCTGACAATCGCTATGGTCCGGTGCAGAAGTCGACACCCTATGGGGTAAGCAGTGCGTACCCACCTATTGAATCAAGTATATGTCCTGTTGTCAGTATCCGTTCGCACCTACTTCTCGAGCTACCGTCTCGCTGCACCATCCACAAAAGCAGCATAAGCAGTATTGTTCATACGAAAGATAATCAGGCTTGGGTAAGGTTCGCCCTCTGTTCCTCAGAAGGAAATCGTTGTTTATGTTGTCAGGATCTCAGTGATGCGCTATTAGCCAACAGAGTCCCGGCATTAACTACTGAATGTGAAAAACCTCCTGATGTCATCATTATCCTACACTTTTCTCGACCATCCCGCATCTTATTCTCTCCTTTTTTGTCTGACTCATTGTCTTCTTAATGAAGTGAAGTTCTGTGTGAGCGGTACCAGCAGCAGTATTGGTGCCTACACCAGCTGGTCCTCGCTACTACCAACATACAGAATCGCCATCGGGTGCTCGATCGGGCATAATTTGAATCCAGGCAAGCCACTCCCCATTGAGTGTGCTGGTGCTGTAGCCCGCGCAACTGATGTTGTCTTCCCTAGTCTCTCTGGTGAAAGCATTGAGTTCAGTCGGTATTCCAAAACGGTGAATGCAAAAGCCAATTATTCAATCCGATCACATATGTGTGGACTGCAGGCTAGAAGTGAAAATTATCGTCCGATAAAACTTGGAGGAATATATGTTCACTTTCCTCAACTAAGCTCAGGAGTTTACATACAAATCCGGGTAGAGGTGTACGGCAACCAACAAAAACCGCCCCAGGTTTCCTCAGAATTTCCCTATTGTCACCAACACATGTAGTTGACCATTTGCATATTCTCCCACACTGTGTCCAAACCGTGGTGCTATAGCGGGTATGTAAACTGAACACTGATGGAACAATTTGTTCTCACGAGTGCTACCTGGGATGAAGGTTGGTTATTCGGCATGATTAAGTGTATCATGTTATCTGGTAATATATTCTTCCCGGAGAAAGTGAGTCGTATTGATTTGAAGTTGCCAATGACACCATTGGCTTATACCATACTCTCTAATGAGAGTACGGATATCCTCCGCCAGAACGGCTCCCCAACCGAAGAGACCGCGGTCAGCGGGCGGAGTCAACAGCTGACCCTTCATTGATATGCATTCGGGTTTCGGATCCACCCTATGGGTGCGGCTCAGCGAAGAGCATCCCTATATGGCGCGAGGGAGGGTCATCAGCACGTAATGTGGAGGAAGTGTGGTATCTGCACGCGTGCCGCCGTTTCATATCGAGAATAGGTTCGCAAATCTTCAAGCTTGGCATTTAGCACCCTTTGCGAACCAATAGAATGATGGAGTATTCATTGCTTTAGATGCAGACTGCATCATGCAGTGTGTCATTGGACAACAGACATTCAACAATAGTCTATTAGAGTGTTCAGGGTGAGCCAGCGGGCGATTCAAGTTTAATTATGTTATGAATACACTTTAGAGTCCGTAGTGTAGACCATCCCGTTGAGCTCAAGACTAATTGTATAATATCAAGTTCATAGGTTGGATCGAATTGGCCATGCATCATCTTCGTGACTCTATTCCCTGTGGTGGCCTAACCATGATAGAGAAGTGCAGAGGTTGAACTTCACCACATAATATACCATTTCCCGATGAATCAACAGATATACTCATTCAGGAAACCATCATTTGGCACTGCAAGCTACATCTACATTTGTAAAAGCAGCGAGTGCCCCGTAGCCGATCATCGAGGTTGCTTTGGTGATTGTCGATTCTCTCTATCATAGCCCGTGACTCAGAGAGGTTATTGTCCATACAGAGCCTCCAGTTCTCCACTCCAACCCCCGACAACGACAACTCAAAGCATTGTTGCCTGACAAATGGAAATAGTAACAGTAGGGACTATACAAGTCGTGCAGTGATTCAATGCCGACTGCCGGTTGCTGGTGTAATGAAAATCATCCCATGCTTGACCAGTTACCTAAACAGCGAGTGTCCCTATGACTCACCAAGTATTGGAGCCTCTCAATGAACACACGAGTTCGACAAGATACGGTATTCATTCTGTCGTTTTACGTACTAAAACCGAAGACTGTAATGAAAACCAGTGCATCCCTTAGCATCAATACAATGCGCCGAATTTAACCGAAGCGTGGTATGCGGATCAATATAGAAAGCCCCATCTCCTCACTACGGATGTGATGAAGATTTTGCATTCAGAGCCAGAGTTTTACCAAAGCGCATGGGGGCATTATAAAACATGAGCAGTGCCGGCGCATCCCAAGACAACCGAGCAAGAAACACTAATCGCAGTCCCAGTGGGAACAACGTCAACTAGCAGCTCGAATTTCAAGAACCACATGAGCGGCATCGTCCTCTGAAAAGGATGATGAATGTGCACATTGCCATCGAGACACGGTGGGCCAATCAAATCTCACCTACTGCCGTTATCCCACCTCTCGCGTTTCCTCCTAGTACGACTATTGAAATGATATCACTACGTGCACGCTCCTCTGAAGCCATGTTGTTTAGTCGGATAGAAACAGTTGTAGGCTCGAGTGTAGCCTACAACCTAGAGGTATCATTCGGCCCCCTCGGTCCAATGAGCTCACTGCTGTTCAAGCTCAGAGTACCCTAGCATTCGTAAACTAACGTATGTGTGGGCAAGTTGTACTACTCCGTCAAAGCAGGTGAGCAATGGTAGAAAGTCCTCAAGGACAATTGATATATCCTTGAAAATGTCAGCGGCCTTCTCACGCATATCTCGCCGGGCATAGATCGGGTTGTTGCCCAGCTGGCTCATTGAAGTTCGATTACCTTGGTCGTTCACTGGAAGGGAGCTGCAAGTATGAATGGAGGAAGATGTGCTCTTCGAAATCTATGTCCATCGCTCTCGGTATCACTGAGAGTATACGGCTGTTCAAGGCATACACTTCACTCCTGCGTCCAATAAACAATAGTATTCATCTTAGGGCAACGTATCGCCTTATCTACAGCACTATGTTTTCTCCGAGATGTGTGAGTTCTGCTCGATAACAGTCTACGATAAGAGAACGGTCGGTTCGGTCGTATTCTTATCGTGCCGAAGCCATAGCGGCCGATAAGGAGAACTCTACCAAAAAAATCATACAACTGAGCACTGCTGACCCGACTTGCAGTAGTATCAAGCCACGTAGTAATCAGTGATACTTCTCATTATCCCCGACTACTTAGTGATACATAGCGTCATCTTTTTTAGTGTCATTAATAGTGATAACTTATCGCCACTAGTGAATAACTTCCCCACTGCCACCAGGGCTCAACGAAATCCCGACCAATCAAGAACTTTTGGTACAAAGAGCAATGATAAACGGGCATTTGGATCAAACCAATACAGGGCCTTTCAATGGCAACGGCTTGAAATGGCCTTTTTCAATCAGCTCGCGCTCGGCCGCAATGGGAGAATCTCTTCCTGGGCTGGTCCAGTATGCGACAACACAAGCCATGATTCCGAGTGCCATGGATGTCGCCGATAAGCTGAAGGGACCCGGCTGTGCTTGGGGACTGACAAAGATGACAACACTGAGACAACTATCAATTCAATACTGATTCACTGTGTGTTATCTCAGGAAGATCAATCGAGGCTTACTTGAAAACGTTCTTCCCGAGAACCATAGTGAGCGCGTAAGTGAGTGCAGTCGATCCAGCCTGGGTGACGTTCTTTGTTGTAGACGACAAGCGCTTCGTTATGTAAGCTACCAGCCAACCCGAAAGTACATAAATTGCTACCACTACTAATGTGCCTGAAACACAGTGATTACTCAGAAGAACGTATACACGGTGAATTGGTTCTCGAAGCCGTACGTTGGTCCCAGTGAATGAGAGCGTTCCAAGATGTACCCTCGAGCCCCTGGTTGAGCCAGTGGGTAGTGAAAGCAACAAAGCCGATCATAACGCTACAGGACTTCATATGAACCACTTGAATCGGCAGAGGATCTCCCGTGGTCTTCAATAATTTCTCCGACAAAATACTCCCGGAGCCTGAGCAATGCAAATCTTCAACGGAGGGTCGAACAAGGCAATGCAATCCCGGAACGAACAAAAGGCGTGTGTCACAACTCTGCTTACATGAGGACAAAACAAACACTATAGTGTACATAAGACCCACAGCAGACGTCGCCACGACGTCCGCTGTCTCCTGTCGGGACTTCGCAACGTAGAAGAGAATTGAGAATATGAAAACTCCAGTAACACAGAGGATCTGCCTCCTAGTGTATCTGGTGGGAATATCAGAGTAAACTGAGAGCACGTAGTAGTGCGTCTCACAATCTTCCGAGAAAACACCATGAGAAGAATGCTATCGTGGGAAGACAGACTTGCAACAGTAACTTGAACGTGCCTAACCACACGAGCATTGTCATCCTCCTATAAGTAGCTCTGAACACCTACCAGGATCTAGATAACTAAGCGCCTTCAGCGCACAAGTTTGACTCGTCATGAACAACAACGCCACTGGTAGAAACCTGAAGGTGTCATAGCCTAGGACATTCACTTTGTTGTTGCCATCGTTCCCCATAAGCTTCGAAACAGCATATCCCATCGCCAACGATACCACATCTTTCACGAAAAGTATGCTTATTTCGCTCGGTGTTTTCCCTGGGTCTTTGTTCGCCAAGGACCATGACACTATGAGGCCCTTGCTGAGGTCAACCAGAAGGTATATAAGTATAAGCCATAATTTGGCCGACCCGAGAGAGCCATATGTATAGTAGTACAAGGCCACGGCAGCAACGATAGGCACCACTGGTGACTGCAGTACATAGGCGACGACTATACCCGCGAAGATCAGGAAAACCACCGTCGTACAAACCTGGAGCTTTCTTCGTACTGTCGGCTTCAGAGTCACCATTGAAAGATACGAGTTTCTGAATTGTTTCTATCTGCTTTTATCCAGTTGATAACGCCACAACTATGGAATTCCGGAAACACTATT